GGCCTCTCCCGTTGCGGAGCACAGGCTCCGGATGCGCAGGCTCAGCGGCCATGGCTCACTGGCCTAGCCGCTCTGCGGCATGTGGGATCTTCCCGTACCGGGGCACAAACCTGTGTCCCCTGCATCGGCAGGCAGACTCTCAACCACTGCGCCACCAGGGAAGCCCTAAAAAAATCACTTTTAAGCAAGAGTATTTGCTTAAGTAATCTCTGTAATCACTATATGAAAATAAATGCATTTGTCATAAATGTATTATGTTTGACTTATTTAGAAAACTACTTCAAAATGATTAATTACTATTTAAAATGTTTATTTTGATTTGCAGATAATAATATTTTCATTTTAACCAGGTCCTGATCATTAGCTCTCATGTAAACATTTGTCCATGTAATGTTTTAAACGCTTAATTTTCTCCACAGTGTTCCAAAATTAATGCACAGTATACATTCAAGGAAAAACTCACCTGAGAGTCTTTTTGCATTCCCCTACACATCTTGCCATCTTAACTTTTTTCTTGCAACCATTGTAGTTAACAGCCACTTTCATGGGTGAAGGTCTGCAATTAGTTTTACCTAGGATAACAGAGTCAAAAATGAGGTTCAACATTAACAATTGCTAAGTCTCAGTTTTCTTAGCCATAAAGTAGAGAATAATAACAACAAATACTTCACAATGTTATTGAAAGGGATTAACTGTCTCAGCACCCAGAACAAGGTACCTGGTTAATACTCAATAAGTGTTATTATTATTCTATTATTACTATCATAGGAGAAGAAAGAATAAAAGAAGGAGGAGGAAGGGAAGAAGGTAGAAGGAGGAAGGAAGAAAGAGGAGGGAAGGAAGAAAAGACAGAGAGATGGTTGTTTCTGATATCCATTTTCTCATTGCTGATCATCCTTATGATCTAATACAACAATTTACAACATAACCTGCTGATGTTAGGAGAGCAAACTAATTTTTTTCCATGAAAATTAAATTTTCTCCCTTGTAAACATCACTGGGTTTTACCGGGAAGAGTGCTGCAACCAACATGCGTGAGAAAATACAATACTTTGTATTAATTGTTAGTTTATGCATATGGGTTAGGTTACCTGTTGTGTTAAAAACACAGGAGACTTTCTATTAATGATCTGCCATTTTGTTGTAAAGAAACACTAAATTTTTGTCAACAGTTTACATTTCCTCCATATGTGGAATTTGATTTTACTTACATGTATAGCAACAGTTATTTGAATCATAGACTCTGCGTTCCTATAGGGGTATGAGAAAAAGAAACAGATTGAAAAACCTCTGTATTTTTCTATAAATAATATAACATTGTTAACATATTGAAATAGCATCACAAAGGGGGAAATGGAACAGATAGACATGCTGATCTCAGATCCAGTCAGCACAGACGGGAGAGTATAGCAATAAAAATGAGACTATTGACACCAAATTTTTTCAACAGTAGTCAGAAAGGGAAAAACAATGTTTAAATACTTCTTTAAAATAAAATACCAAAAAATAAAAAGTTACTCCTCCCTATTTGAATTGAAAAAAAATACTTTAATAATAACATTACTACGTGACAGTTTCTCACAGGCAGGATTTTCGCCTTATAAATTTTATACCCTCAAACTTATCAATGTCTCAAAGTAAAAGCTCAGTAAATGTTGAAAGCCAACACTGGAGTTCTAAAATAAAACTTTAAACTATATTATCAATTATAGCTTCAGAAAGAAAAAACAGCTAAATTTAAACCTTTCTTACTAATTTAAACTTAAGCATTCATTAATACAAAACCCTCACCATATTTTGAGGGGATAAAAATTGTGGCACAAAGAGAGATCTGAACAGTACACATTTATGTGATTATATTAAAAAATATGTTCTTTTACAGAAAATGATTAAGCTGAATCCATGAACCTTGAAAAAAATACTTTTTTGTTTGTTTAAAAAACAGCAACATGCTTTCTACAGTAACTTACTTCTAGACTAGCACTAGATTAAGTTTTATAGAACCTGAAATATATATTTGATATGAAAAATATACTTAGCAATAAAATGTGTATGACATAACTGGAATGGAATCTACAGGAGATGTATAACTATTGTCCAGGCACAAACTTTTCCAAATAAGGAAGAAGACAGGTTGCTTTTATATTTAACATGAGAGGTGAACCTTGTTGATCACTGCTTAAGATGACTTACTTCTGCACACCAAGTCTGCTTTGGGCAGTCTTGTACCACCGCAACGAAACCTGTGCTCTGGCAGAAGTAGGAGACACATGGGTTGCTGGGGTCACCAAATGAAGCACCAACCTGGGAGGTAGGGATGGGGACAGAACAAATAAGTATTCATCTTGATTTCTTTTTCAGGTTGACAATAAAACCTGTAATTCTTTTTTCAAATTTATAATGTTCAGTGAATTTCCAGAGGCACTTTCAGCCATTAGATTAATATTTAAGAAAAGGTGATTAAAGTCTTCTACTTCCATGAATAAATCAAAGGTCTTCACTGAGAGCACAGAATGTGTCAAGATTCTCAATCCTCAAATTAAGATTCATCTATAATAGCTCTATCATATTTTTCAAGGATTTTAAAGAAAAGTCCCAAAAGATATTTTCTATCTTTCCTTGTGTTCCTGTGCTTTTAAAGCTCTCTAGATTGCTTTATAATTACTTTATGTTTAAAATTCAAACATCAGTTTGGGGAAATTCCATTTATAACAGACCCTCAAACCACAAGTAAACTTTCTGGTAAACTGAAATTTTATTATTTCAACTATTTTGCATTAAAATGATTAGAGGTAAAACTTTTCTTTGTTCTTTAAACATCGTCGCATTTTATATTACAAAACTGTTATAGATTCTCAAGTCAGAATCAACTAAAATTTATGAAGCCCAGGTAGAAATGTGAGTGTAATAAATGAGTTAGATCAAATTAAATTATTATTAAATTAGAGGCTCTGTTTTATGTATTTCCTAACATACCACATATTTTATTTTATATTTAGATTGTTGTAATATTTAGTATCACCAGTTCAAATTTATTAATATCAGTTTGAGAATCATCTGGTTTTTATGGCTTTGTGATACTTTTCCTAGAAAGTTAAATTACTTTTCAATATGTCAAATCAATTGTCAAATCCAGCCCTGAATATACTGTGTTGCTATATCCCTATATAGAGCTCTAGTCTTTTGGGTTTTCGTATTTGATCTCTGACTGTTCGGCCATCGGATCTTTCTGATTATAATTACAGTTTAACTCTGTTCATTGATTTGAACATTGTATGCCTTCTCCATTTGGTGAGACCCATGGGAAATTTTGTTCAGAAGCTCCACTGCTAGGTTAATGATCAAGTATATTGCCCCCTTTTGAAGCAAGTTATGGTGGATGTTGCATTTGATCTTTCTTTTTAAATGAATATGGGAAAGAAATAAACAAATTCCACTCCACCATTATCTATGATTTTTTCATATTAGCCGAAAGAGCCTGCATTTATTCATAATTATATTAATAAAAGTATTTTAAAGTAGAAATGATCTTACCTCATAGTCGGTATTGTTAAATAAACATGTTCTTGGTTCTGAAAAATAAGTACATATTTTACCCTAAGATAAATATTAAATTTTTTATTTACAAAACAGAAATTGTATATAAGATCATATTTACCAACCAATAAGGAAACATTATAATGTTTCTTCCCATAACACCATCATCTCCTTTTAACCTACTGATTACATTCATAACTAGGTTTCCCCTGCTCCAAAGATAGTAAGTTTTAAGAGGGCAAGTATTGATTCTGCTTTATTTATCAAGCATTTGACTCATATTAGTAGCTCAATAAATATCTCTTGAATGCATGAATAAGTAAACAACTATTCAATTCAATTCACATAATGTATTATGAATACATACCACAGTACCCAATTTCACAGCAGGTATCGTTAGCTTTGAGCTTTACAAGCCTCTCTTCAGTTTTGCATGTGGGTGGAGAAGGACACTCCTTGGGTTTACAGTCTACGGTCTTTGCATTGGTACAGGTGCATCTGTGGCAATTGGCAGTCCATATGTCTCCAGGCTACAAAAACAAACCAAGTTTAGACTTCTATTTGAATACAGGAACGACAGCAAATTTGGATTAAAGTAGAGACAAACTGTGTACTTACAGACATCTTTTCTCCCAGTGGACCAAGACAAACTATTAACATGAAATGACAAATGCTAATTAAATTCGGCAAACTATAACAGTCAATTATCTGTAGATAACCACCAGGTTGACCAATACTGAATTGGCACTACTATTTCAGAGATACAGAATTATGAAGGATTGTAAGGTGTTTTAAGGTGGATAAATCACCTCCCCCTACTTTGAGCAAACTGTCTTTAGCAAGCATATATGTAGTTCCTATTTTTACAATCCTCAGAAAGGACAATCCTTGACCTCTCCTGTCAGTGGTCAATAAATCTTATGGATACTGTTTTACTTATTGTTTCACTTTCTGACTTCTGTCTCCACAATCCTAAAAGTCACCAAGACCTCATAATTACCATTCCCAAGCGCTCTTTCTCAGCTTTTCAAGTTCCCTACAATAGCTGACATTTTTTACCTCTCACCTTCTTGGAAACGTTCTTCCTTCAGACTGAACACTCTGAAATTCCTGTTAGCAGCCCTTCCTCCTCCCTCTCGTTTTGTCTCTGTTCTTCCCAATGATACCTTCCTCCATCTTTACAGTATCTACTGTAACATCAAGTGGATGACTCTCAAACTTCTAGCTCCTGTATAAACATCTCTTGTGAGCTACGGACCCAGATCTCCCTTGGCCTAATAAACAGCACCTTGGCAGATTTAAAAGAGCCTCAGACACATGCACAAAATAGATTGAATCATTTTTCCCCTAAAACCAGTTTTTTATCTAAGCTGGCCACCTCCTGTTAAGGGCTGAACTATGCTTTCAAATACTTAAGCTTAAAACTTAGAAGTCATCTTGATTATTTCCTTTCCATCATTTGCATTGAACCAACTGCAAAATCTTGTATTCTTATCCTCACTTGAATCCCTTCCTTTCCTGATTTTACTTGTTACAGTACTACTCCAGGACCTTAGTATCTTTTTTTTTTTTAACATCTTTATTGGAGTATAATTGCTTTACAATGGTGTGTTAGTTTCTGCTTTATAACAAAGTAAATCAGCCATACATGTACATATATCCCCATATCTCTTCCCTCTTGCATCTCCCTCCCCCCCACCCTCCCTAACCCACCACTCTAGGTGGTCACAAAGCACCGAGCTGATCTCCCTATGCTATGCAACTGCTTCCCTCTAGCTCTCTATTTTATGTTTTGTAGTGTATATATGTCCATGCCATTCTCTCACTTTGTCCCAGCTTACCCTTCCCCCTCCCCGTATCCTTAAGCAGGATCTTAGTATCTTTGACCTAGCAGAATCTGCCTTTTTTGGGGAAGTGTGACTCAGTGTTCTTTCTGATCCAGTCAATTGTCTGTGTCATAGGTAGAATAGTTTTTCTAAAACCTACTTTTCATCTCATCATTGCTTCAATTAAGAACTTCTGATACCCCTTACAGTCTTGTAAACTAAATACCTTATTTTAGCATTCTGCCTTCTGAGGTTGCCATACATGTCTCCAATCTATCATCTCGACCTTGTCTCACTTCTTTCATTTACATACCCTGAATTAGCCTACTTATTGTTCTCAAATTCCAATTCTCTAATGAAATACCCGAGAATCCTTCCAAAGTATACAATATATGTAACATGTGTGACACATAACATGTGCTCTCTATATAATACATAGGTCACGTATTTCACTGTGAAATTTATTTTCAGCCTTATATGAAAATTGCCTATGTTTCTTTGAAAATCTCCCTTCTCCCACTATATCCTAAGATCAGAGAATGATTTTTTTGGTAACTTCTGCCACTTTGTACAAAGCACATCACATTGGCTTGATAATTTTAGAGGAACTCAAAGTCCTCTAAAAGTATTGAACTCTGGTTATGCCTAATTTTTCTTGCTAAAATTCAATACTCAAAAAAAACTGGAATTACTTAGCTTAAAAAATACTATCGAGTAGCAATATTTTGATCAAGGTATTATATAGTTACATGAATTTAGTAAACTCTATTTTGACTAAGTGACAAGATGCATTTGTTTGGTTTGGCTTTATTCGTTTGTGTGTGACAAAACAAACTATCATTCACTATTTATTTGGTGAATAAAAGCTAAATTCATACACTTCAAGTTTTCCTATTCTATTACACTTCCATAGCTAGTGACTTTCATTGGCATGACCTTTGAAATTTGATTTACAAGAAAAACCATTAATGTAGGATGATTGATTTTCAAGTGGAGGTAAGCTTACCTGGAGGTGGTGGAAGTGATACTGGACATCCTGTGTAAAAACAGACACCTCATATTAATCTCTAAAGTTACTGGAATAGGTTTGGAATAAATATAGTTTTCTAATCACTGAAAACACATGGCCACATTGCTAGTCTTACAAACAGACATATTCCCATCAATCTTCCCTTTCTACTCCTCATGGCATTTGATATTCCACCATTAGAAAGTGTTTCCTTTAGATTTCAAATTTTAATGGGAAGAAAATATGATAATCAAAAAGCGGAATGAGAATCAAGGTAAATTTCTCTTCAAAATTTCTCGGAAGACAGTTCTGATAAATAGGACAATAAAATGTATAATCAAACAAGGAAAAGGATAACTCAGATATAGAAAAGATATAAGTATTATTAGTTGCCTGGATTTAATCCTCTAAGAATTTTTATCCTCTTTTTGTCTTACAATATTTTAATCTTGTTCTGTCTCCACTCCCACAAAATGCTTTAAATTGCTTACATTTTTTGGTGAGGCTTCACTTATCACAAAGTTTGGTCAACCTAACAATCCACTCAAATTTCAAATTCTATTTCCAAACTGCTAAAATTCAGATTAATATTTTTATTCTTTCTACCAAGCAGAAGGCTGAACTAGAAGTAACAGAATATTTGAGAAGAACTTAAAGCTTCTTTATGTTTGAGTAAAAGGAACCTAACAAATAATAGGTACAGAAAAACAGAAAATAAATTAATTAAAGATGTGCAAGTTTGGGGCATAAAATATTTCTCTTTACTAAGGGGACACTAGGCTAATTCTCAATTATAAATGCTTAACAGATTACCAGAAACCAGCAACAGCAGAGAGAAATTGTGTTTAGGCATAAATATAGCAGAAAATTTTCCCTACCCAGAATTCCCAGTTCATTGAAAAAATTTGTAACGGGAGGAATAAGATGCAATCTCATACTCTCTACATTGCTATCAGAGCAGTTCTTCTAAGACCTAACTGATCATATCATTCTCTTAACAAAATCTTTAAGGAGACCCCATTTATTGTAAGGATAAAGTCTCATTTAAGTTTGGAAATAAGGTCCTTCATAAACATTCCTTTGCTTACCTTTCTAATCTCATTTCTTCCCTGAACCTCTTACAAATATTACCAATACCTGGTTGATTCCTGAAGTCACTCATGCTGTCTCAAGTCTCTGTCTTTTTAAGTGCCATTTGGCAGGAATTCCCTCCTCACCCTAGCCAATATTGAAACCAATGATCTCTTCCCTAATGCCTTCATTCAACACTACCAACTAATAAACAGAAATTAACAGTCTCAGTGCACTCCCAGGACCATAATTGTTGTGCACGTGTTTGAGTAGCATTATATACACTATAACGATAGTATCTGTGTAGATAATAATCTCTTCCAGGCTTCCCTGGTGGCACAGTGGTTAAGAACCCCCCTGCCAATGAAGGGAACAGGGGTTTGAGCCCTGGTCTGGGAAGATCCCACATGCTGCAGAGCAACTAAGCCCATGTGCCACAACTATTGAGCCTGCATGCTGCAACTACTGAAGCCCACGCACCTAGAGCCCGTGTTCCACAAGAGAAGCCACTGCAATGAGACGCCCATGCACCGCAACACAGAGTAGGCCCTGCTTGCCGCAATTAGAGAAAGCCTGCACTCAGCAACGAAGACCCAAGACAGCCAAAAATAAAAACAAATAAATAAATTTATATTAAAAAAAATAATCTCTTCCCCCACACACACACAAAATAATAAAATGGCAAGGGCTGCTACAGAGTCTAACACATATAAGGTATTAAAGAAGAGTTAGTTGAGTAAGTAACAAAGAAATTAGTACTTTTACCATACTGACCTGTTTTATTTTCATTTTCTTGATCTCCTGTTGCTACTACAGTGGTTTCTGTAAAAGGATAATGCTGTCATTTTATTTATTAGATAGCATGCACACATATCAAGTTTCTGTGTGTATGCATGCACGCACAAATGATCACACACATTCACAATTAAGGAAAGTTTCGTGTGGAAGAGACAATTCATTCCAGTGCATTTGGGTCATTTCATTTTACCTGGGTAGGATACTTTGGGGCTTGTTGTGATTCCATTTGACACTGAGGTGGAGCCTGCAGAAGGAAATATTTAAAATTTCAGGAATAGCAGATTTCATAATCCCATTCTCAGAGATTTCAAGGTCATAACTAAGTCTTCCAGTGAGGGGTTCTGCTAAAAGCCTAACCCAAAAAAATCCTGGAGGAAAAAAATAATCCCTAGTTGAACTTCAAAGTCATATTCCAAAAGGAAATGTAGGGTAATCTTCCTGGCCTTTCTTTGCTGTTTCTTTCCCACAACTCCTCTCCTCCAAACTCAACTCCTCATATATAATTACAGGCACACTGATCATTGAGGAGTCTGTATTGCTAGCATTCATCTGTTTGCATTCCAATTCCAGAGGTTTCCTTGACTCCTGTGGAAGCAGTGACTGCTAAGAGAGGCACAAATGTGGTGAGTAGAGGGACTAAAAAAGCTAGAGTTTAACTTCAGGTAAGCTGCCCTGTCTTCTAAGATGCCACCAAGCAAAGTTCATTTATTATTATTTGACCTACCTGTGGTAGAGATTACAGGAGCACTGGTTGTTTCATATGCTTCCTTGGAGGTAACTAAAATGAATAGAGAAAGAGCAGTGAACTTTTTCTGGTCTCAGAAGAGTGTATCTGAAGACATCTTCCCAAAGAATAAGAGTCTCAAAGCACCTGGAGTGTACTAGTACACCTACTAATGCTAGTTCATGCTCCTGCCATTGAAACAGAACAGGCCCTAACATAGCAACTCCTTGTTCAAAGAAGAATTGAGTATTTTCCTATGACCCTGGTAGCCTTATCACTTAAGGGTCCCCTTCTCTTAATGACAAAAATTATTTTCACACTTAACTATTTTGCTTCCTATATCCTGGTTTCCTGGTTCTCCCATATTAGTTTTTTGGGGAGAGTTGTAGGAGTTGTTTATATATTTTGGTTAGTAACCCCTTGTCAGTCATATCATTTGTAAATATTGTCTCTTATTCAGGAGGTTGTCTTTTGTTTTGTTGATGGTTTCCTTTGCTGTGCAAAAGCTTTTAAATTTAATTAGGTCTCATTTGCTTATTTTTTTAATTGGTGTGCAGTTGTTTCACAATATTATTTTAGTTTACACTGTACAGCAAAGTGAATCAGCTATATGTGTGTGTGTATATATATATATATATATATATATATATATATATATATACCCTCTTTTTTGGATTTCCTTCTCATTTAGGTCACCACAGAGCATGGAGTAGAGTTCCCTGTGCTATACAGTAAGTTCTCATTAGTTGTCTATTTTATACATAGTATCAATAGTTGTATATATGTCAATCCCTATGTCTCAGTTCATCCCACCACCTACCCTTTCCCCCTTGGTATCCATACTTTTGTTCTCTACACCTATGTGTCTATTTCTGCTTTGTAAATAAGACCATCTATACCAATTTTTTCAGATTCCACATATACGCGTTAATATATGATTTTTTTTTTCTCTTTCTGACTCTTTCATGGTCCATCTATGTCTCAACAAATGACCCAATTTTATTCCTTTTTATGGCTGAGTAATATTTCATTGTATATATGTACCACATCTTTATCCATTCATCTGTCGATGGACACTTAGGTTGTTTCCATGTCCTGGCTATTGTAAATAGTGCTGCAGTGAATATTGGGGTGCATGAGTCTTTTTGAATTATGGTTTTCTCTGGGTATATGTGCAGTAGTGGGATTGCTGGGTCATATGGTAGTTCTATTTTTTGCTTTTTAAGCAACCTCCATACTGCTCTCCATAGTGGCTGTATCAATTTACATTCCCACCAACAATGCATGAGGGTTCCCTTTTCTCCACACCATCCCCAGCATTTATCATTTGTAGATTTTTTGATGATGGCCATTCTGACCAAGATGGTGGGGGAATAGGAGGATGGAGAGTTCATCTCTCTTCACAAATGCATCAATAGTACATCTACAGATGGAACAATTCTCACAGAACACCAGCTGAACACTAGCAGAAGACCTTGGACACCGGAAAGGACAAGAAAGATCCCCGCATAATAGGGTAGGATGAAAGAAAGAAGGGAAAAAGAAGAGGCGAGGAAACAGGATGGGATCTGTGCCACTGGGGGGGAGCTGAAGCACAGGAGAGGCTCCCACATCGAGGAAAGACCCCTCACTGACAGGGAAATCAGTTGGGACAGAAGGGGGGCATCTGAGGCTGTTGAAGGAGGGTGTGTGGCAGACAGGACAGAGTGACACTTACACAGACAGTCCGCTCCATAACCCTGCATGCCCCAATCTGGGATGTGTGTCTGTCAGTGCACATGGGGGCTGAGAGCTTGAACATGGGTATTGGAGAGCAAACCTGGGGGGAAGACTGCTGTTGGCTGCAAGGAGATAGCCTGAGGGGATAGGAGGGAGGTAATTCATAACCTGGAATGCTTCTGGAGGAAATCATTTGCCTATTTTTGTTTTTATTTCCTTTGCTTTTGGAGACAGATCCAAAAAAATATTGCTACGATTTATGTCAAAGAGTGTTCTGCCTATGTTCTCTTATAGGAATTTCATGGTTTTAGGTCTTACATTTAGGTCTTTAATCTATTAGAACTACCATATGGCCCCACAATTCTACTCCTGGATATATATTCAAACAAAATAAAAACACAAATTCAAAAAGATACATGCACCCTAATGTACAAAGCAGTACTATTTACAATAGCCAACATAGGGAAGCAACCCAAGTGTCCATCAACAGATGAATGGGTAAAGAAGATGTAGTATGTATATATGCGTGCATGTGTATATAATGGAATATAACTCTGCCATAAAAAGAATGAAATTCTGCCATTTGCAACAATGTGGATGGACCTAGAGAGTATTATGCTTAGTGAAATATCATACAAAGACAGAAACTGTATGTTATCACTTACATGTGGAACCTAAAAAATAAAACAAACAAATGTATATAGCAAAATAGAAACAGACTCACAGATATAGAGAACAAACTAGTGGATACTAGTGGGGAGAGGGAAGAAGGAAAGGGCAAGATAGAGGTAGGGATTAAGAGATACAAACTACTGTATATAAAATAGATAAGCAACAAGTATATATTATACTTTCAGGGAATATAGTTATTATTTTGTAATAATTTTAAATGGAGTATAATCTGTGAAAATATTGAAGCACTATGCTGTATATCTAAAAGTAATATAATATTGTAAATCAACTATACTTCAATAAAAACAGAAAAGAAAAATAGTGCCCCTATCTCCCTGTCACTGTGGGAAGGTAGGAGCCTAACTTCATTCTATAAGCACCAATTAGCAAACACAGATCACCAAATCACAGAAACCAACCTCTCCCCTAACGCTCTCTAGTACTTTCCCACTAGTTCACCCCAGCACTTAAACACTCTCCCACATTTTATTTCAGCAAAGTTAAGTTCAAAATCTCAACCCTATTGCAATGTTCTTGACTCCTATTTAATAATCTTAAAGTCTTTTTTGCCCATTTAACTCCATTTGGTACAATTTTTCTTTTACAGTTCAAGTTTAATATTCATAGAGATAAATATCCATTTTCTGAAACAATTGGGTGTTAAAGGGAAGAAGAATATTGAACATGTTAATTTCACTCTGTCAGTCATTTCCATTACCTTGGCTGGAACTTTCTGAGACACCAGTAATTTTGCTTGATATCACAGCAGTGCCTGCAAAGTCAAATGAAGGACATTTCACATCAGACATACCTTCTATAGGTAGCCTCAAAGATCAAAAGCAGGAAGAGAAAGTAAATCAGATGAAAGTCTAGGCCAATGCTGCAGCTAGCCCATAGAGCAACTTTATGAAGTAAAAACAAACTAACAAAAAATGACAGAAAAAAAACCCTCTGGGCAGATGAAACCCCATGGATTTATAACTTGTTGAAGAAATGCTGGCTGGATTTCAGCCTCTACTCCTCCCTTTAGTAGTGTGCCCTTGTGTACTTTTACACACTTACCTGGGGGCTCTGGTTGGAGCCCAAACTCAGAGCAAGAAGACAACCTTAGATGGCTGGAAGAGGACATTCTCTACTGAGATTCTGCCCTATTTCCTGGCCCTTTATCTTTACCTTCAACATTCCCCTAGGTTGAAGCAAAGGCATAGGAGTAACTAACTGAGAATGCAACAGACTTGAACCACTGACACTTACTTTTTTGTGTTCCAACTCCAGTGCTAGTTCCTAAGAAAGGCAAAGAAGACTAAAGTCAGGGCTGCTGTGTTGATGCTACAACAGTCAGTAAATTCCAAAGAAAGGCTCTTATTTTTCTAGGCTTAGCTACTTAGAGCCGCATATTAAATATTTACTTGCCTGTGTTGGAACTTCCAGGAATACCTGTTGTGCCAGAGGCTATCCCAGTGGTACCTGTAGTAAGAGAGAAGGATAAGCCTCACAAAGCCTTTCTCACCCTAAGAAGAATGTGGTATTGACAAGTGTTCCTGTTTCTCTGAAGCAGTAGAAAACTGTTTAAAATTTTTTCTTGCACAAAATGTTAAGCCTAGCATATTTTCCTGTGCACTTTCTCGTAACTGCTTGTTCAAATAAAATATAGGAGGAAAAGTCATACTTGCTCCATAGATCTTATTTCTCTAGATCTAGAGTCATCTAGAATCTGATATTAAATGAGAGAATGTCTGTCCTATATTTACATGATTTACTTCTAGTGACTTAACTCCCTGGTTTTCCAGCATCAAAAAAAACAAAACAGGAAAAATTTTCTAAACTTGTGATCAAGGGTTAGGCATCTCAATCAAAGCCTTAATTAACAAATTTACTTGTGTCTATTATAGTGATCTCCACTCACCTTCTTGGCTACTGGTGACTCCTACTGATTCCAGGCTATTGCCTGCCAAAACAAAAGCAGTGAAATTTCAAATAAAGAATGTGCCTAGAGAATTAAATTACATCTATAGTATGTTCTCTAGGACAAACCAGGGAGCTAATCTAGGCTGGCCTTATGATCTGCTTATTAAATTAAAAGAAACCATTTTTAAGTCATGCTAATTTTCATTCACAACCTGTATGTAGTAAATTCAAATGGAAAAATCATTGAGAATCCAAAATCTGGCAAAACTCACCTGATGAAATTCCTGCTTCAGTGTTTCCAACATATTCTTTAAAAGTTGTTGCTTCTGTAAGAGCAAAGCAGGAAAAATTGAGAAGCTTGAGAGGCTGAAAATATGAAAATGATATAGCAGTATATGATCTTCTCCCTATGACCACTTAAAGGAGAATTCCTTTTACTATTTGACTTACCTGTTTTGAAACTTCCAGGTGAGGATGTCCCAGAGCCTGTCCCAGTGGTACCTGTGATGGGAGAGAATATAAAGAAGAGGAAATGTGCAGGGATGTCTTTCTTATTAGATGGAGATCATGGTTTAGAACAAATCATGTGTTTCTGTAAAAGAATGCATTCCTTCTTAGGATTCCTTGTTCCAAAAGGTGAAATAAACATTTTTTATTGATCTGTTTCATTTCTGTGGTAAACTCCAGTCTTCTGGGATCCTTATTTTCTGGAACTAGTATCATGGGGTTGGGTGCCTCTCCCATCTTCACCTTTTTAACTTCCCCAACTTCACCCATTTTGCTTCTAGTAGATTGGCTCCCTGAAATTATGCTAGTGACTCCTTAAGGTTAAAAAATGGAAAGGATCAAGAATCTTGAAATTTTAATTAATTATTTCAAGACAGTTCTCCCTTTTAAATTCAGTTTTATAATTGTCAGGCTAGGCTCTCCGAAAAACAAAATATTAAAAACACATATGTCCCCTGCAAATTCTGGTTGATGCTGTTTGATTTGACATTCTGAATCCCAAAATTAGAAGCAATCTAGTCTCCAGCACTCCAAAACTTTGCCTTATGGATTTGACTTAACCATACTGGCAATTGTTGAGCCCCAACTCCTCCCTTTTTCAGGTTCCTTTGCCTTTGCCCACCTATATAACAAAAGGAATTATGCTTCCGTTTATTTGTCTTCTCTTCTCACTCTATATGCCCATCATAAGGAAACCCACCAGCATCCACAGTTTCAAATATCATTTGTAAGTGAATGACTTGACAAATCTCTATCTCCAATGCAAGCCTCTCTTCTGCGTTCTGGTTGCATTTATCACTCCTGCTGAGCATACTAACTGGACACCTCAGAGCATCTTAAACCCAAACTGTCAACATTTGACCTCACTATATCTTCTATCAGTTATAATTTTTTCCCTTCCTCCCATATATTCCCAGGTGCGATAGTTGTGCCAGTAGTCACCCTCGTGGTAACTGAAATCACAAGAGGAGAGAATCCATTTATGATTCCCTTTTACTAGGGTTTCGAAGTAGGATTTGGTTTAGCACAAATTATATCAGAAACTTTCTTGCCTTAAGTGTGGCTTCTATTATGCCATTTTATTACAAATATACAAAAAAGGCAATTCACATGGGGTAAAATATAGGGCAGTTAACACCCTAACAATTTGTACCCAAAGAGAGATTCGGATAGAATAGAATTCCCCCTAATTTTATTATAGCCAACGTGATTTACTTTAAGATGAAGAGAAAAATAATTATTTGACTGCTATTGCTCACCTATTTTAATTCTACCCTGGGTGGTTTCACCACTTCCCAAAGAAGTTGTGGCCCCTAAGTGAAACAAAGAAAGGAGAAGAATACTAAATTCTGAAGACTCATGTACTCAGAAAAGTTGGGTGGTATCCACTGGGTATGGTAGGGAATGTGTTTTTGGGTGAAGGAGTTGAAGGGAGGACGCTATCTCATTACTGAAGTTCTTTATACTCCCCATTAGGTTATTGCTTTACCTGTGTTAGAGTTTCCAGATGCAACTGTTGTGTCAGAGACTACACTAGTGGTACCTGAAGTAGAAGAGAGAAACAGAGAATCCCAATAGTGATGCATAAGACTCTTATTGGGGCTATCCTGTCAAAATGAGGTGCATTCTCCATTTTTAAATTCAGGGTCACAATAAAAACATTGGCTCCTGTCCCAGCCTTGATGATTTGCTTCTTAAGGTTAAATATCAGAGGTCACTGGGCCTCTCCCATATTTACCTATTTCACTTCCAGGGCTTGGCCTCTCAGATGTGCTAGTGGTGGCTCCTAACAACAAGAAATAAAAATAATATTTGTCTAAATGCATTTCATTGTATAAAGTGAATAAATTCATAACATCTGAAATCCAAAATTTAATAGAACTAAACTTCCAGAGTTACTTCCATCATCCCTGCTTCCCTACTTATAACTATATGGACATATATTGCCTCCATCTCACACCCAGGTAATAACTTGAATGTACAAAAGGGAATCCTTTCTGGACTTCTCGCTTAAGAATTACACTGTAAGGTTTATCCCAGAAGAAATGATATAATTTTCATAAATACAAGCTTCTTCCTTTTCTTTGGTTATGCTTCCTTCTCTGGAAGTTGTAGCCTCTAAGAGTGAAAAGGTAGAGAGTAGTGAAGTCTAATAGAAAGTCATAAAAAGGCATCGTGTGCTATTGCTCCAGAACTTGCCACAAGAAAGAAATTATAGCACCTGTTTCCTCATTGATTCACCTGTTTTGGAACTCCAAGGTGAGATGGTACTACCACGATCCACTCCAGTAGTACCTGAAAACAAAATTGAATGGTATTTGAGAGATTACTACAAGCAACTATATGCCAATAAAATGGACAACCTGGAAGAAATGGACAAATTCTTAGAAATGCACAACCTTCCAAGACTGAACCAGGAAGAAATAGAAAATATAAACAGAACAGTCACAAGCACTGAAATTGAAACTGTGATTAAAAATTTTCCAACAAACAAAAGCCCAGGACTAGATGGCTTCACAGGCAAATTCTTTCAAACATTTAGAGAAGAGTTAACACCTATGCTTCTCAAAGTCTTCCAAAATATAGCAGAGGGAGAAACACTCCCAAGTTCATTCTACGAGGCCACCATCACCCTGATACCAAAACCAGACAAAGATGTCACAAAGAAAGAAAACTACAGGCCAATATCACTGATGAACATAGACACAAAATTCCCCAACAAAATACTAGCAAGCAGAATCCAACAGCACATTAAAAGGATCATACACCATGATCAAATGGGGTTTATCGCAGGAATGCATTAAAAGGATCATACACCATGATCAAGTGGGGTTTATCCCAAGAATGCAAGGATTCTCCAATATATGCAAATCAATCAATGTGATACACCATATTAATACACTGAAGGATAAAAACCATATAATCTTCTCAATATATGCAGAAAAAGCTTTGGACAAAATTCAACTTCCATTTATGATAAAAACCTTCCACAAAGCAGGAATAGAGGGAAATTACCTCAACATAATAAAGGCCATATATGACAAACCCACAGCCAACATTGTTCTCAATGGTGAAAAACTGAAACCATTTCCACTAAGATAAGGAACAAGACAAGGTTGCCCACTCTCAACACTATTATTCAACATAGTTTTGGAGGTTTTAGCCACAGCAATTAGAAAAGAAAAAGTAGTAAAAGGAATCCAAGTCAGAAAAGAAGAAGTAAAACTGTCACTGCTTGCAGATGATGTGATACTATACATAGAGAATCCTAAAGATGCTACCAGAAAACTATTAGAGCTAATCAATGAATCTGGTAAAGTAGCAGGATACAAAATTAATGCACAGAAATCTCTTGCATTCCTATACATTAATGATGAAAAATCTGAAAGAGAAATTAAGGAAACACTGCCATTTACCATTGCAACATAAAGAATAAAATACCTAGGAATAAACCTACCTAAGGAGAAAAAAGACCTGTATGCAGAGAACTATAAGACACTGATGAAAGAAATTAAAGATAATACAAACAGATGGAGAGATATACCATGTTCCTGGACTGGAAGAATCAACATTGTGAAAAAGATCATACTGCCCAAAGCAATCTATGGATTCAATGTAATTCCTATCAAACTACCAATGGCATTTTTCACAGAACTAGAACAAAAAATTGCACAGTTTGTATGGAAACACAAAAGACCCTGAAGAAATAAATCAATCTTGAGAAAGAGAAACGGAGGTGGAGGAATTAGGCTCCCTGACTTCAGAATATACTACAAAGCTACAGTAATCAAAACAGTATGGTACTGGCCCAAAAACAGACATATAGATCAATGGAACAGGATAGAAAGCCCAGAGATTAAACTCACACACGTATGGTTACCTTATCTTTGATAAAGGAGTCAAGAATACACAATTCAGAAATGACAACCTCTTCAATAAGTGGTGCTGGGAAAACTGGATAGCTACATGTAAAAGAATGAAATTGGAACACTGCCTAACACCATGCACAAAAATAAACTCAAAATGGATTAAAGACCTAAATGTAAGGCCAGAAACTATTAAACTCCTAGAGGAAAATATAGGCAGAACACTCTATGACATAAATCACAGCAAGATCCTTTTTGATCCGCCTCCTAGAGAAATGGAAATAAAAACAAAAATAAACAAATGAGACCTAATTAAACTTCAAAGCTTTTGCACAGCAAAAGAAACCATAAACAAGACCAAAAGACAACCCTCAGAATGGGAGAAAATATTTGTAAATGAAGAAACTGACAAAGGATTAATCTCCAAAATATACAAACAGCTCATGCAGCTCAATATCAAAATAAATAAATAAATAACCCAGTCCAAAATTGGGCAGAACAACTAAACAGACATTTCTCCAAAGAAGATATACAGATTGCCAACAAGCACATGAAAGGATGCTCAAAATCACTAATCATTAGAGAAATGCAAATCAAAACTGCAATGAGGTATCACCTCACACCTGTCAAAATGGCCATCTTCAAAAAATCTACAAACAATAAATGCTGGAGAGGGTATGGAGAAAAGGGAACCCTCTTGCACTGTTGGTGGGAATGTTGATTGATACAGTCACTATGGAGAACAGTATGGAGGTTCCTGAAAAAACTAAAAATAGAACTACCATACAACCCAGCAATCCCACTACTGGGCATATACCCTGAGAAAACCATAATTCAAAAAGAATCATGTATCACAATGTTCATTGCAGCTCTATTTACAATAGCCAGGACATGGAAGCAACCTAAGTGTCCATCGACAGATGATGGATAAAGAAAATGTGGCACATATATACAATGGAATATTACTCAGCCATAGAAAAGAAGTGAAATTGAGTTATTTGTAGTGAAGTGGATGGACCTAGAGTCTGTCATGCAGAGTGAAGTAAGTCAGAAAGAAGAAAACATTTGCCATATGCTAACACATATATATGGAATATATATATATATATATAAAAGACGCAGATGTAGAGAATGGACTTGAGGACACAGGGATGGGGAAGGGTAAGCTGGCGTGAAGTGAGAGCGTGGCATGGACATATATACACTACCAAATATAAAATAGATAGCTAGTGGGAAGCAGCCGCATAGCACAGGGAGATCAGCTCGGTGCTTTGTGACCACCTAGAGGGGTGGGATAGGGAGGGTGGGAGGGAGACACAAGTGGGAGGGGATATAGGCATATATGTATACATATAGCTGATTCACTTTGTTGTACAGCAGAAACTAACACAACATTGTAAAGCAATTATACTCCAATAAAGATGTTTTTAAAAATATTGAATGGTATAATTATGTCAATTTTATTCCTACAATAAGAAGAGCATATTCTAGAATAGGATGGGGAAACTACAGAATTGTTTATTACATTAAAATGTTATTTTCAGGGATAGCTTTTTCCAGAGTTTTTAATATTTTTTTCTAATGTAATATTTCATCCCAATAAAAATTTGGTGGGGGGAAGGTGCAATGTCTGTGGTTGTGGGAGTCTCAATGATAACATTCCTTTCTCTAGGATCGATGTCAGTGAAACAAAGGTAGTTTCCTTTACTTACCTGTTTGAATGCCCGTGACTTCGCTACTAGATCCCCCTAGAAGAATAAACAGTGAAGGGTTGATTGCCCATTGAATTTTCACCTGGGTAAAGTATTGATGTTACTGAAATTTTAATGTGCAAGAAGAGTTTAGACATGTGACAAAGAAATCTAGTGAAATAGTGTGGTAGTAGTAGCAGAGGAGCATAGCTAAGTGGATGGACCTTGAAGCCAGACGGCCTGAGTTGAAATCTGCTGTTTATTTGCTGTGTGACCTTGCACACGTTAGTTAATATCTCTGAGCCACAGATTTTCTTATCTGTGAAAACAGTAGTACTTACCTCAGTTTGGTGTGAGGGAAAAGAAATAATAATAAGTTGTAGAATAGTTCCTGGCACATAGTTAGTGTTCAAAAGAGTTAGCTATTATTGCTATTGTAAGTGAAAAGTGGAGAGGTTATGAAGCTTGTGTGCTCACATGTATTTATTCCAGTTTCTGTGGTCCCACTGTCTTCAGAAGGTGTACTAGCTTCTAAGAGAGAAGAAAAGTAAAAAAAAAAAAAAAAAAAAAAAAAAAAAAAAAAAAACAAAGTAAGATGAAGAGGATTTAGCATTCTGAGAAAAGTTAAGCATTCAGGAAAGTTAAGCATTCTAAGAAAATTTTTCTTGATAACAGCACCATGAAAGATACTTTACTCATAGAGATTTTCCTGTGGAGGATTCTCTCCAGTTGGTTGGCTCACCTGTGTTTGAACTCCCAGGTTCAAGTGTAGTGCCAGAAGCTACCCTTGTGGTACCTGCAACAAAAAGATAAGTGGTGACATTTCCTCCCATGGGGGGATCTGATCATCTTTGGGGCTTTTTCAAATGCTTGTGAATTATTTGTATTCTCTTATGCATAGTTTTATTCCCAAATCAAACAAAGATGCAAATTCCTCAGCATAGGAGGCCCCTCTTCTGGAATTTAATGGTAGTAAGATGGGGGTTATTCATGCTCTGCTTTCTTGTTCTTGTGGTCCCCTTCCCACCATAGTCACCTAATGTGTTTCCAGTTTCTTCATTTATTGATACTCCACTGGTAGCTCCTAAGAGGATAAAAATAGGAAAATTTTTGAATGTAACATAGTTATTGGGATAAGCACTGCACATTTCAGTCACTTTTGCACTCAAGGAAGAATCTAATGAACAGAGGTCAATTTTCTGTGTTCATTGTAGCCTTCTGTTTACCTGAAATAGAACCCTCTGGGACTGTCTTTCCGTCATTTAATTTCGTGGTGATACCAAAGTGGCAAACAGAAAAAACTTTCTAGACATTTATCGCTTCTACTTTCATTTGCAGGGATCTACATGTATGAGGCTGGACAACGGAAAGAGAGGGACTTTAAAAATCTGCCCACATTGATTCAAAATCAAGTAACAAAAGAAAACATTGTTGATCTGAGATGAGAGTTCCTAAAAAGTTCCTCCACAAGAAACTGTCCTGCAAGAAACAAAAAGCACGGTTGACCATTGAACAAGGTGGGGGTTAGGAGTGCCGACTCCCTTCATAGTCAAAAAATCCATGCATAATTTACAGTTGGCCCTCTGTATCCACAGATACTCCATATCCATGATTCCACATCCATGGATTCAACCAACCATAGATTGTGTGGTAACAATAATATTTACTATTGAAAATAACCTACATGCAAATGGACCTGTGCAGTTCAAACCCATGTTGTTCAGGGTCAACTGTAATTTATCAACCAACATTCTCACACACACATACATTTTCCATTCCACTACAGAAGTTCTAATGACTCCAGTGGAAGTTGTGGCTTCTGTAGATAAAAAAAGAAGAAATGGATAAAAGAGGATTTAGGAAGAAGGGAAAATAGGCTATGATGTTCTTATATGAGAAGATCAGTGTGAAAGGCATTTTTGCCACCTTATTTCTAGAAAGGATGCTTTCTGTTCCAGAGATAGTTCCTAATGGTTGAAAGCAGAAAAAAGATTCTATGTATGTTATGACCTTTAATCATTCATGGAGGCAACAAACCATTAGGCAATTTATAATTTAAAGCTCAAGATACAAGTCAAATGGGAGGCAGTTTTCTAAGTTCATTTTAGTCATCCTTTTACCTGAGACAGAACCTTCTTGGACAGTGTTGACTCCTACAGTAATGCCTGTAATATCCAGTGGGTTAGTCTTCCAGGGAATTACTACTCCTACTGCCCTCTTCAGAAATCCACACCACAGTGCCAGCCGTGGGAAAAGGCTGGTCCAGAAACCAGCTGGGGGTTGTGAATCAACAGTATTTTGGGCCCTGCATATCGGCTGGAGGGCCTGCCCTTCCTGTACAATCTCTCTGATCCAGAGGCAAACTCATGATGGTTCTCAACTGCAATGCTAACATCTGGGAATCCTAGTTCTCACTAATTTCATCACAATGATTCTGAGGCTTTCTAAGGAAGTTTTAGACTCTGGAAAAAAGAAATAAGGAAAGTGGAAAGTACATTTGGGGATACATATTTCTCCCTGAGGTTAGACAAGGGATGATTGCCTTTGTGTCTATTCCATTACCAGTGCTGGAATTTCCAGATGTAATAGGTGGGCTGGAGACTACACTACTGGTACCTGAAATCATAAAGGAAAAGGGATTATATGTCATTTCCTTTACATTCAAAGAAGAGCTAAGAAGAAAATCATTATGTTTCTTTTTAGTCATTGAGGTCCTATTCTAGGATTCCTCACATATCTTTCCACAAGTACATTTCTTTCGGAAAAAAATTAAGTAAAACTATATTTTCACATTAGAAGTCCTCTTATTCTGAGTATTGGTAAATATCAGGGAGATATTTATATTTTCTCATGTTCACCTGTTTGACTGTCAGAGACCTGGTTCCCTGGTAGAGTAGTCTGAAGAGAAGACAAGACAAAGAGATTGAGTGAGAGACAGAGAGAGATTTAGAGAGAGAGAGAGACAGACAGAGTATTCTGCTGTATATGAATTCAAGGATTTGGGAAAATATTAACACTCTGGAATTTGGAAGCTCAGACAAAGATTTCCATAGGGCAGAAATCACTCTGTATTATTTCAGCTAGAAGGAATTGACAAAAAAGAGAATTCGTTTTGGATTCTGGCTAATATGCTGGTGATATTTATAATACCAATGGAGAAATGCCATCCCTTCTTTAGACTTGAAGCAGTGAAGCTCAATTCTGTATTTAATGGATTTTCAAAAAGATTTTATCTCTAATAGCAAACCTATTTTGACTCACTTGCAGTGTCCCTAAATTACACACAAACTTTCTCAAGGAAATCCTAGAGAGTCCTCAAACTTATGGCCTCAAATCACAGGCTCTTTGTTTTCACCTGTTTGAGCTCCAGTTCTAGTCTCTTCTGTGGAAGTTGTGGCCTCTGAGGGAAGAAATAGGATAATGATGAAGTCTGGGAATTTGGAATACTGGGAAGAGATATTGGGGTATTTTTATTATAGAAGCCCTAAAAGTGAGATCATGACATCTGAGATTAAATATGGGGAATTTCTTTCTTGCTAACCTACCTGTGTTAGAAATTTCAGATGCAATGGTTGTTCCAGACAATCCTCCAGTGATACCTAAAATGCAAAAAGTAAATGTTGCAGTACAGCATTTCCTCCTCAGTTCATCTTGGAATCATCAGTGTGGCCCTAAAGCACTGGTATCCTTTTCTGAAGACTGTCTATGAAAAAAATGGAAAATAAACAATTTTACAGCATTTCATTTCTCAAGTCAGCTTTGGATGGATGTGTTGCCCCTGGGGTTCCCTTTTACTATTTAGTAAGAGGAAGCAGCAGTAAAAATCCCCTTACCTGTTTTACTTCCAGAGATATATCCACCTGGTGTGCCAGAGGTGCCTAAGTGAGGGAATAAAGTATGGTTTAATCTTTGTAAGAAGGAATCTTTGATATAACTTGGAACATTTTGATAATTAGTTGCCTTCATGAAGTTTTCCATCGAGGGGAGATAGAAAATAAATAATAAACATCATGCATAAGTATGAGAGAGATGACAGACAGCAGGCTATGGCAGGAAGGCAAGCTGGGTAAGGATTGGAAGTACTGGGGGAAGGGGTTGGGATATATGCAATATGTATGCATACCTTTTTACAGGAAAAAAAATCTTTGTAAGCAAAAACACTGAGGACAGCTTGACTGAGACATCTGCGGTCTTGGAATTCCCAGGAAGAATAATTACCTGGGTTCATATGGTACAGTATTGTTGAAGAAGAGGATTGTCATGGAGAGGATGTACAACTAGTTGACCCTAAAGCTAGACCCAGGCAATCAGTGACAACTCGCCCCCTTCCCTGGCCTTGGAACTTACGTTCTATGGCTCCCATAGTGGGAGCCATTTTCAAGGATGCAGCCTGGAGAGAGCAATGTGTCATTGAAACCTTCAGGATGGTATACATGACTGAACCCAGTTAAGGCCTCTATATAAACTTTTAAGATTCTGGCAGGCAGATGCAGAGATCTACTTGTCTTACGGCTGCCCAAGACAAGCTTTGTATGTAAGTTCCCTTGCTTATTAAACCCACCAACATGGGGTGGTTTGCCTCTTTCTTCAGTCTCACCTTGCCCTTTGTGGATGGAGCCAAGTTTCAGATTTCACCCAGGAAGCTCCTGAGTTTTTGAACCAACAAATATGGCAGGTCCTTCCATCATACTCCTTCTCATTCATTTGCTCACTGAAGTGACCCAAATAGAGAAATAATGAGAACCTAGGCCTTGGACTGAAAAACTCACCTCCTGGTAGTCCTCCTTGGGTGGTCTCACTGTCTCTTGTGGAACTGGTGGCTTCTGAGAGAAGAAAAGAAAAAAGAAGTAAAGACTTGGGATGTGGACAGGACATTCTGGGCTTCCACAATCTATATCTCCTGAAGGTCCACGTTTAGGACTCCTGACCTGTGTTGGCACTTCCAGGTCTCAGAGTTTTGCCAGAGATGCTCTCAATTGTGCCTGAAATAAAAAAAGAAAAAAAAAAAGGACTGTGGTCAACTTGTTGCACATCATGAAATGGGCATAGGCTTTAAAAAAAACTGTTACTCCCATATACCAGTGAATCTATATTTCTCTGGACTTCTTAGTTTCAAGAGATCCTCCAGGTATTCCCTTCAAAACATGTCATTCCCTTCTCAAATTTATACAGAAAGTCCTCCAACACTGAGACCCCCTTTTAGGATCTAGTTAAAGGAAGATATATTTCAGGGCAAATCACCTGTATAACTATCAGGAATGAGCCCTGTGATGCCCTGATGAAGGCTCGTTAGAACACAAGCAAGAAAAGTTGAAGTGTCTGAACTGAATTTATTGACGTCAAATATTGAACATCTGCTAAAATATTGCCCAATATGTTGAATATGGAAATTCAAAGAGTTTTGATATATATCAGACAAGACTTTTTATTGGGAAGATATTAGAAAGTACAAGTAGTGACTCAGCAGTGCTCACCCATGATTATTCCAACTCTTGCTGTTCCACTTTCTTCTACAGAAGTTGTAGCCTCTGAGAGAGGGGAAAATGGAAGAGAGATTGGAAACCATGCAAGGACCATGGAAAATATGTGGTAGTTCTCCTACACAGGATAACACTGGAGTAAACTCATCATAGCTGGATCCATGGAAGATTCCCTGCCATTTTGTCGACTCACCTGTGTTGGAACTGCCAAGGGCAACAGTTGTGCCAGGAATTACCCCAGTGGTGCCTGAAACACAACGGGTCTGAAGTCATCACAGTGACTTGTGTTTGTCTCCTAAAGACCTGCCTCTAGAAGAAATGTGCTATATCAAAGGGTCCTTTCACTGCTTCCTGATGAGTTGAGAGTCATAAGGCTTTTCTATGACAAATGCCATTAAGAAAGCAATCAAAATGTTCCCAAGTTGAGGCAACTTTCTCAGACAACCCATTTATTCCAAGACAGGAAAGAAAGGTGGTTTTCTCCCAGGTTCACCTGTCACACTCCCAGTTGCTTGACCTCCTGGTACTGTAGTGCTATCTACTGTGGGCCGAAAACCAGAAAAATGTTTGAATGTGCAAAGGAAAATACTGAATATCACTATTGATTATTTGAGTGAGAAAACCTTTATATAGGTATGCCTGTTCACATTGCTTTCTCTTCTTCCTAGGTGTGTAATATTCCTTGGTCCCCCTGATGTGTATGGCATCCCAAGGAGAAGCCCCTCACATGGATTACACACCAGCCCATCTTTAGAAAGTTACAGCTGTGAGGCTAGATGCTAGTATTGAAAGTTCTTCCATAACATGTTAAATCTAAGAAAATCCTAAAAGCCAATGAAAACTACTCTGCAGGAGATCACACCTCCCAACAGGCAAACCTATGGAGAATTATAATTCATGCTAAACTCCAAACTATGAGCAACCCATTTGTACCAGGTCTGAGTCCAGTTCCAGGTGTGCTGCTGCCTCCTATTAATCTTGTGGCCTCTGAGGAAATAAAGTGATGAATGATGAGGTCTGAGGATTTGGAATATTAAGAAAAGAATGATGCTGATATTTTATCAGAACAGGTCTACTAACTACATTATGAGGTTAAATAGCAAGATTTCCTTCTTGTTAACCTACCTGTGTGGGAACTTCCAGATATGGTTGTATTAGAGAATTCTCCTGAAGTACCTAAAGTGAGAAAAATAAAGGGATCAACACAGCATTAACTCCGCAGTGAATACTGAAGTAGCTATGCAGCCTTGAATCACTGGAGATCTTTCCTGCAGATCTTTGATTCTGTAGGAAATGAACCATCAATTACTCCCACAGTTTCCTTTCCTGACCCACCTATTGATCATTATTGTTATTAGAGTTCCCTTTTCATAGAGTCCACTGAAAGTGAAAGGAGACCTTATGTCACCCTCACCTGTTTCACTTCCAGACCCGGGGCTCCCTGGAGTGGTGACAGAGCTGCCTGAAGGAGGAAAAAGGCAGATGATGGGTTCCTCTTTCTAAGTTTTACTCATCAATTACTTGAGCTAATTTGATATTCAGATATTTAAAATAGATCTCCTTGACTCTAATACTCTGATAAGGTTAACTTATTTAGTCCATCTTACCTGACATGGAACTCTGTGAACTGCTGCTGGCTCCAGGTAAAACCATGGTGATACCTATTAAAGCAAATAGAGTGAAGCCTCAAAATAAGTATACATTTCATCATTATACTAGTATTTATTAAGCATCTTTTCTGTGCAATATTGTTTTAGGTCCTTGCATATATCAGTGAGCAGAATATTCAAAGATCCCTCCCCTAAAGCAAGTTATATTCTAGCAACTGGAGACCAACAGTGAACAATAAACATAATAAATAGGTTGATGTGATAGATGTTAGTAAGTGTTATGAGAACATGGCAAACCATATAAAAGGATAGGGGACTTGGTAGGCAGGGGCTGGCTAGCAGGTCACCCTCATTCATGCCATTCAACAACTAGCTCTGCAAGCCCAGGCCTGTGGAAATCCAGATGGAGACATCTGAGGTCATGGAATTCTTAAGCAGACCCAGGTTTGTGACTCTGGCATATTGTGCTCCCAGAGGAAATTCAGGCCCCTTTCCTTTGCCCACTTTCACACTAATGTGTTCACTATATTCACACAAACAGAGATTTGATGAAAGTCCCAAAGCCTCAGATTAAAAGATCTCACCTCCTGGAAGTTCTGGTTGGGTGGTCCCACTTCTTCTCATGGAAGTGGTGACCTCTGACAGAGAAAAGAAAGAAAAGAGTAAAGACTAGGTGTGGGTAAGTACACACTGTGCTTTTGTCAGAATATATCACCCAAGGTGCCACTGTCCAGATACCTGTGTTGTAACTTCCAGGTTCCAGAGTTTTTCCAGAGACTCTATCAGTAGTACCTAAAACAAGAAAGGGTCAGTGGTCACTAGCTCAATTGCTGCTCACCACGTGATTTAAATAGGAATCTAAAGTCTCTGTGCAGTAGCAAACTATAACCCTGAGACTTTTGGTACCAGTAAGTGATCCATATATGCCCCTTGTAACATGTCTTTCTACAATTTTACTGAGAAAGTGCTCAACTATCAGGTCCCTTTTTTGGAGGGGAGATAGGAAATTTCTCTCTACATTACCAGTTTATCTGTCCCTAGTTTGACTTCACAATAGTCTAGTGAAGGCTCTTATAAGCTCAGGAAATAAGGAAACTGTCTTGTTTTGTTTTTCTGAATTTGCTCAATATAACATATATAAACAGTGCAGATATATTTTCATAAGATTGTTTTTGAGAAATTATCATAAAGTTCAGGTATTAGCTTAGCAGGGCTCACCTTTGGCTATTCCAACTCTGGTTGTTTCACTTTCTCCTTCTGTGGGAGAGAAGGAGGAAAAAGTTAATGAGAATATTTAAGGATCATGGAAAGGATATGGCAGGAGGTCTGCAAAAGATAGTAACAGAGGAGACATCTAATTTGTGGGAGGACTGTGGAAGATTATATGTCACCTTGTTGACTCACCTGTGTTGAAATTGCCAGGGGCAATAGTTGTGCCAGGGGCTACTTCAGTGGTGCCTGAAACACAAAATGAAATGTAGTCACCATGGTGCTCATGTTTCTTTCCTAAAAGCATGCTTCTAGAAAGAACCTAGGTATATCTTCATAGTACCTAACTGGACTGCTCACTGACTCTTCTCTGATGATGAGCCCTGTGTAGTTTTTCATTAACCATTTTATTACCAAAGCAATCATAGTGACAATATTCTCAACCAGAGATACACTTCCTGGCATTCTACATCGAGGAAACAGGGTGGGTTTCTCCCACCCTCTCCTGTCTTACTCCCTATGACTTGGCTTTCTGATGCTACACTGGTACCTGCTCTGGATTCAAAACAGAAGCCATGAGTGTTCTGAGAACTTGAGACACTGGGAAAGTACTGTGCTCTTCATTGCTTCCTTGTGAAAAGCATTCATCTACGTGGGACAGACATGTTTCCTAAGTTCCTGTAACTCTTCTCAGTTTCTCAGGAATACAAAGTTTTCTCACTCTTCCCTTGTCAAAGCTTATGATATATGTAAATCCACAGGAGAAGTTATTCATAACAATTACTACAATCCCAACTTCAGGGATTACAGCTATGACTCTAGACTGTTATTAGCAACTTTTCAGAAAAAAAATTCAAAACTGAAAAATAATTAATTTGCCTAAAATGCAGTATTGGTAGAGTAAATATCAACTGTTCTCCAGAAATTCTCTCTAGGATCTCCTGTGTCATGATTAGTGGTAATAACAAGATAGGAGCTGCTCCTTCTCACCTGTCTGGAATCCAATTCCAGCAGTACCAGTACCTTCTCTGGAAGTTGTAGCCTCTGAGGTAGAAAATAGGAGAACAGTAAATTCTGGGCATTTGGGATATGGGGAAGAGGCATTTAGTATTATTTTTTCACAGCAGCCCTACAAAAAGCTTCATGTCCTGAGTGCCTATAGCAGTGTTCTTATTATTATTTCAGCCATACCTGTGTTGGAAATGCCTGTCTTAAAGGATCTCTCAGGTTTCTGGTAGTAGGCAATGAGTGACAACAGAGTGATGCATATTGAATGGTCACCATTCCACAAAGGTAGAATCTAGTGGATCAGGTGGGCAAGTATCAAAGTCAAACACCTTATCAGATAAGGACCAGAAATGGATTTTATATCAGTGAACAAAATAAGAAAAAAAATATCTGTCCTCATGGAGGTTATACTCAAATGTAAATGCTAAAAGAATGCAGAGGGGGAACAATTAAGAAAAAGTGGAACATTCTAAAAAATAAATTTCTTTTGCATATCTTTTAAAACTGTTAAATTTAAAAGAGACACCAGGATGCAATGAAAGCTAAAAAATTTAATGGAAATGGTAGGTGACAAATAATATGCTGAGAAATATGGAACTGCCTTTTTATTTAATAAAGAGGGTATTTCTAGAGTCATTTTTGTTTATTTGATTGATTCTGTAAGTTTGTACACAACCAGTGCAGAATTTAATGATTATATATGAGATTCAATGTCTTTGGTATGATTTAAGAAGGTATAAAAATAGAAAAAGCAAGAGCCCTATGCTACCAAAATCTAATTTGAAGTTTATGTTTTATTAATCTGATAAATTAAGACTTCTGCTATCATATTTTTGATTCTAGTTACTGTAACACCATTTTTTTTCAAATCCACATTTATAATGTGACTTTTTTCATCTGTTACTTCAGGCTGCTTAAATGGCACTAATTTTAAAAATACAAATATATTTATAAATGTACATTTTTATTTATCTCAACTCATACAGATTAATTTGTATTAGGTTAAAATTTGAGAAGAATATAACAGTCCCTTAGATATTTTTCAGTGTTCAAGTAGAAAAAGTAGAAATATTATTTCAAGGCACATTGTGAAAAAGCATAATTTTGTCATTTTAATATCAACTTACCTACAACAGGTTCTGGTGGAATTGTATTATCTGAGCCTAATAAAGAAAAATTAATGTTTCAATTAAATAATATACTTGAATTTTATTTTTAAAATTCACCACAATGCTTCAACTGCCATGATATATAAAATTTTTTATTAAAAAACAGAAATATGTTATTTCCACAAAGGCTTATCTTAGAAATTCTATTCAGGGTGAGAGATCTCTTGGGAGATAAATTGTAAAGTGCTCTTTTAAGAAATCATCTATGAGTTACAAATTATCAAACTAAAAACAAAAGCATTGCCCTTTTCCCAAATAAAATGTTTACACATATGTAATTCTTCTTTGGTTCCATTTAAAGACTAAAGTCTTGAACTTGGAAAATGCAAAAAAAAAAAGATAAAATACATACAGTGCCCAGGAGTCACATATTAGTAACTATAGAATTAATTTATAATTATGATGTTCAATATATAATATGAAGCATGGCAATTCATTTAGGTTAACATAACCATAGATTGAACAGATAATATTATATATTTAGTCTGAATCAAATTAATTATTTTCTAGTGATTAGTTTGTAAAATAATTTTACATAAAGGGAGTTTGTAAGAGTAGTTAGAATAAACATAGGATAAATATTTACCAGAAAAAGAAAGAATAAGCAATCTATTCTTTAAATATTGGACAATTTATTCACTAAAACCTAGGTTCTATTAGATAACCTGCAAATTGAGAGATGAAGTTTTTCCCAATATACTCGATATGAGTATATTGTGTTGGCCAAAAAGTTCATTCGGGTTTTCCATACGATGCTACAGAAAAATCCGAACGAACTTTTTGGCCGACCCAGTGTTACTAGTCTAGAAACTTGATAATATATTATAGGCTTGAATAAATGTCCATTTATTGTTAAGAAAAAATTGTCTTATAGGTATTTGGGAATTTTATGTCATGTTGTAATAACTGTAAAAAGAAATGAAGAGATAAAATTTTGATTTGCAAAACAATAGTATTATAGTTTTCATAAATGTCCCAAATCTTGTGATTTCAGAATGTCAAAATGCCGAAGTTTCTCAACATATTAAAAATGTTATACTTCTTTTTATTATCTGCTGCTGTAGTTTTTATAGTTAGAAATGGGGAAATTTAATCTATATAAATATTAAATGCAAGCTTTTATTAATGGGTCACTAAAGATCATTGTATATTTCCTTAGTGGAGAATGCCCTTGTGGTAAAGAGCAGACTGTAGAGTCAGTAAACAATGGATAAAAATATTGTCTCCACATGTAAATTGATACAGCCACTATGGAGAACAGTATGGAGGTTTCTTAAAAAACTAAAAATAAAACTACCATATGACCCAGCAACCCCACTACTGGGCATATACCCTGAGAAAACCATAATTCATAAAGAGTCATGTACCACAATGTTCACTGCAGCTCTATTTACAATAGCCAGGACATGGAAGCAACCTAAATGTCCATCGACAGATAAATGGATAAAGAAGATGTGGTACATATATACAATGGAATATTACTCAGCCATAAAAAGAAACGAAATTGAGTTATTTGTAGTGAGGTGGATGGACTTAGAGTCTGTCATACAGAATGAAGTAAGTCAGAAAGAGAAAAACAAATACCATATGCTAACACATATATATGGAATCTAAAAAAAAAAAAAAAATGGTTCTGAAGAACCTAGGGGCAGGACAGGAATAAAGACTCAGAAGTAGAGAATAGACTTGAGGACACAGGGAGGCGGAAGGGTAAGCTGGAATGAAGTGAGAGAGTAGCATTGACATATATACACTACCAAATGTAAAATAGATAGCTAGTGGGAAGCAGCTGCATAGCACAGGGAGATCAGTTCGGTGTTTTGTGACCACCTAGAGGGGTGGGATAGGGAGGGTGGGAGGGAGATGCAAGAGGAAGGAGATATGGGAATATATGTATATGTATAGCTGGTTCACTTTGTTATAAAGCAGAAACTAACACACCATTGTAAAGCAATTATACTCCAATAAAGATGTTAAAAAATATATATTGTCTCCACTATTTGATTTGCTGTAGAACCTGGACCAACTTATGTAATATCTTTTCTAAGTTCTTCATGAGTAAAATGAGATAACAATACTTATTTAAATATTTAAATGACAATAGATTTTAGGGCATTGTATTATTTAACTGGAGTTATTATGAATTACTTTGCCATTTTTAATTAGCCAGTGAGCATGAAAACAAGTCAAAAAATACATCTCACATCCCCTGCTTACTTACCAGTAGTAGTGGATCTTTCTGGTGCAATTGTTGAGCCAGGGGTGGCTCCTATGGAATGTGAGATTAAAAGTAGAAAGTCATGAGCAATGTTCTTATTTTATTGGGACACTACCTGGACATTTAACAATTTAACTACTTTGAGTCCAGATGTTGCAGTTGCAGTACTGGTCTGAAAACACCTAACAAAATATCCAAGGTCCTCAATACCAGATAATTTGTATCAGATTTTCTGATTTCTAAACTTATAATACAGTAATATCCAATAATGGATATTTATCAAATTTATCAAAAAATCTTATGTTGGGTTGTAACTGGGGCCAATAGCTTCCCTTCCCACTCGCCTGATTTTCTGGGTGTAGTTGATCTGGTCATGCTTTCACCCACTTCAGTAGTTTCTCCATATGGTTCTTCAGTTGTGTCTGGTTTAAAGGATAACTGACTATTATCTTCACGTTGTTCATTTTGTAAAAATTATAAACTTACTGCCATTTAAGTAAATTTCAAATTTAGATGTTAATAATAAACCTAGGACACCTCTTAATCATTTCTCCAAAACTGTGGTCCTTGCTTAAATTAACTTAAATCATTATTGCAATTTGGGCCTAAGCCATGCTCATATTAGACCACCAAAAGAGCACCCTGGTGAGTCTTGCCTGCTTGGTTCCCCACAAAAGTGCCTACAAAGCTTGATGCTCTGACTGGGCCTCCACTACCAGCACCTCTGGTAGCTCCCACTGATCTACTGATTCCACCTGATCACAAAAGAAGTAATAGGGATGAAAACATAACCTTTTTAAGGGGTCTGAGGAATCAATTTAAAACAATCATATTCTACAAAGTTCCCATCTTTGAGTTCTAAATAGTATAATTCTGATAAAGTAATATAGTTCAAAATTAGATCTCTATCAAATTAAAATTATTTATATTATTGTCTAAATATAGCTAACTTGACTTACCTTCATATGTGGTAACCTCACTTCCTGGCCCCCAAGTTGTCCTCCTGGCCCTTGTGGTTGTAAAAGTTGATGATCCAGTTGTTCCAGATCCTTCAACTGGTGTCCCAGTTGTCCATGATCTTCCAGTTGATGGTCTAGTTGTCTTCGATCCTTCAGCTGATGTATCAATTGTCTCTAATACTCCAGTTGATGACCCAGTTGTCCCTGAACCTACAATAGATGTTCGTGTTGTCCACATCACTCCAGATGATGGTCCAGTAGTCCCTAAACTTACAACAGAGATTTTAGTGGTTCTTGTCAATCCAACTGGTGATGCAGTTGTCCCTGATCCTTCACCTGAGGGTCCACTTGTTCCTGATTCAACAACAGTGGTCCCTGTTTCTCCAGATGATGATGCAGTTGTCCCTAAACCTACACTGGATGTTATTGTTGTCCTTGTCACTCCAGATGATAGTGCACTTGCCCCTGAACCTATACCAGATGTTCTAGTGGTTATTGTTAGTCCACCTACTGATCCAGTTGTACGTGATGCTTCAGCTGATAATCCCTTTGCTCCTGATTCAATAACAGTGGTCCCTCTTTCTCCAGATGGTGGCCCAGTTGTCCCTGAACCTACACCAGACGTTATTTTTGTCCCTGTCACTCCAGATGATGGTCCAGTTGTCCCTGAATCTACAACAGATGTCCTAGTGGTTATAGTCAGTCCAGCTGTTGATCCAGTTGTCTCTGACCCTTCAGCTGATGATCCACTTGACCCTGATCCTAAAACAGTGATCCCTGTTTCTACAGATGATGGACTAGGTGTCTCTGAACGTACAAAAGATGGTCTACTTGTCCCTGTTACTCCAGGCCTAGTTGTTCCTGAAGCACCAGCTGACAATACAATGGTTGATGAAGTTACATCTCCTGGGCTGGTTGTCCATGATTCTCTAGTTGATGGTTCCTTTGTCCCTGAGCCTATGACAGAGAATCTAGTTGTGGCAGTTAGGCCAAGTGATGATCCAGTTGTCCCTGATGCTCCAGATAATGGTGCACTTGTCTCTGAACCTACAATTAATGTTCCAGTGGTTCTTGTCATTCCAGGTGTTGATCCACTTGTCTGTGATCCTTCAGCTGATGATCCACTTGCTCCTGATCCTATAACAGTGGTCTCTGTTTCTCCAGATGGTGGTCCTATTGTCCCTGAAACTACACCAGATGTTATTGTTGTCCTTGTCACTTCAGATGATGGTCCAGTTGTCCCTGAAACTACAACAGATGTCCTAGTGGTTATAGTCAGTCCAGCTGTTGATCCAGTTGTCCCTAATCCTTCAACTGCAGGTCTGGTTGTCTCAGATCCTGTAACAGATGATCGAGTGGTCTCTGAAACTCCCGCTGTCCTTGTGATTCCAGGCAATGGTACAGGTGTCCCTGAACCTACAGCAGAAATACCACCTGACACTGATTCTCCAGGTGATGATCCAGTGGTTCCTGTTTTCCCAGTTGATGGTCCAGTTCTCCATAAATCTCCACCTGATGATCCCTTTGTCCCTGACCCTACAACAATTGTTCCAGTTGATGCTGATCCTCCTGGTGATAATACAGGAGTCCTAGTCACCCCAGATAATGGTTCAGCTGTCCCTGAAATTTCAGCATAGATTATAGCTGTTCCTGTAACTCCAGCTAATGAACCAGTTGTTCCAAATCCTTTAATTGATGTTCTAGTTGTCCTTGATCCTCCAGATGACGGTCCAGCTGTCCCTGATACTTCAACTGCTGGTCCTGTTGTTCCTGATCCTATAATAGATGATCGAGTTGTCCCTGAACTTCCAGCTGATAATCCAGTTGTCCTGGTACCTGCAAAAGTTCCACTTTTGCCTGATTCTTCAGCTGATATTTCAGTTGTCGATGATGCTTCAGCTAATGATCCAGTTGTCTCTAAACCTACATCAGGTGATTCAGTTGATACAGATCCTCCAGGCGATGATTCAGGGGTCAGTGTTGCTCTAGATGATAGTGTAGTTATACCTGAATTTACAACAGAGATTCTATTGGTTCCTGTCACTCCAGATAATGAAGGAGTTTTTCCTGATCTTTCAATTGATGTTCCACTTGTCTCTGATGGTACAGATAATGATCCAATTGTCCCTGAACTTACAATAGAGATTCTAGTTGTTCCTAACAGTACAACTGTGGATCCAGTTATCCCTGATCTTGTCCCTGATCCCATAACTGTCATCCCTATTTCTCCAGATAATGGTGTAGTTGTCTCTGAACCTACAAAAGATGACCCAGCTCTTCCTGATCCTCCAGGTATTGATCTAGTAGTGACTGATCCTTCAACTGATGGTAAACTAGTTCCTCTTCCTATAACCATGGTCCTTGTTGCTCCAGATAATGGTGCAGTTGTCTCTGAACTTACACCAGGTGGTCCAGTTGGTGCTGATCCTACAGGCAATGATCCAGGAGTCCCTGATGCTACAGATGAGGGTACACTGGTTCCTGATCCTATAACAGTGGTACCTGTTGTTGCAGATAATGGTGCACTTGTCTCTGAACCTACAACATATGGTCGACTTGTGCCTGACCCTCCAGGTGTTGAACTAGTGGTGGCTGATGCTTCAACTGATGACAAACTTGTTCTTGACAAAATAACAGTGGTCCCTGTAGCTCCAGATAATGGTGCAGTTTTCTCTGAACCTACAACAGATGGTCCACTTGTCTCTGATCCTCCAAATATTGATCTAGTGGTTTCTGATCCTTCAACTAATGGTAAACTGGTTACTAATCCTATAACAGTGGTTGCTTTTGCTCCAGATGATGGTGCAGTTGTCTCTGAACTTGAACCAGGTGATCCAGGGGTTGGTGATCCACCAGGTAATGATCCAGGGTTCGCCAATGTTACTGATGAGGGTAAAATGGTTCCTAATCCATAAATAGTAGTCCTTGTTCCTACAGATAATGGTGCAGTTGTCTCTGAACCTACACCATGTGGTTCAGGTGCTGATGATTCTCCAGGCAATGATCCAGGGGTCCCTGATGCTCCAGATGAGGGTAAACTGGTTCCTGATTCTATAACATTAGTCCCTGTTACTCCAGATAAAGATGCAATTGTCTTTGAACTTACACTAGGTGGTCCAGTTGTCCTTGATCCTCCAGGTACTGATCTAGTGGTCCCTGATCCTTCAACTGATGGTAAACCAGTTCCTAATCCTATAGCAGTGGCCCCTGTTGCTCTAGATAATGGTGCACTTGTGTCTGAACCTACAATATATGGTCCACTTGTCCCTGACCCTGCATGTATTGAACTACTGGTGGCAGATCTTTCAGCTGATGGCAAGCTGGCTCTTGATGCAATAACAGTGGTCCCTGTTGCTTCAAATAGAGGCACAGTTGTCTCTGAACGTACAACTGATAGTCCAGTTCTCCCTGATCCTCCAGAAATTGATCTAGTAGAGGCTGTTCTTTCAAATGATGTTAAACTGTCTCCAGATCCTGTAAGAGTGGTGCCTATTGCTCCAGATACTGGTCCAAATGTCTCTGAACCTACAACAGGTGGTCCAGTTGCTGCTGATCTTCCAGGTGATATTGCAGGGTTCCCTGATGCTCCATATGAGGGTAAACTAGTTCCTGATCTTATAATATTACTCCCTGTTGTTCCAGATAATTGCTCAGTTATCTCTGAACTTAAACCAGTTAGTCCACTTGTCCCTGATCCTCCAGGTAGTGATCTAGTGGTCCCTGATCCCTCAACTGATGGTAAACTGGTTTCTGAACCTATAACTTCAGTTTCTGTTGCTCCAGATAACACTGCATTTGTCTCCAAAACAATAACATGTGATCCAGTTGCTGCTGATCCTCCACGTGATGGTCCAGTGGTCCCTGATGCTCCAGATGAGGGTAAACTGGTTCCTGATCCTAAAGCAGCAGTCTCTGATGCTCCAGAAAATGGTGCTGTTTTCTCTGAAACAACATCAGGTGGTCCAGTTGCTGATGATCCTCCAGGTGATGATCCAGGGTTCACTGATGTTCCAGATGAGGGTAAACTGCTTCCTGATTCTATAACATTAGACCCTGTTGTTCCAGACAATAACACAGTTATGTCTGAACTTACACCAGGTTGTCCACTTGTCCGTGATCCTCCAAGAAGTGATCTAGTGGTCCCTGATCCCTCAACTGATGGTAAACTGGTTCCTGATCCTATAGTTGCAGCTCCTCTTGCTCCAGATAATGGTTCAGTGGTCTCTGAACCAATACCAGGTGGTCCACTTGTTGCTGATCCTCCAGGAGATGATAAAGGGGTCCCTGATGTTCCAGATGAGTGTAAACCGGTTCCTGGTCTTATAGTGGCAATTCCTGTTGCTCCAGATAATGGTGCAGTTGTCTCTGAACCAAGACCAGCAGCTAATGATCCTCCAGGTGATGATCCAGGGGTTTCTGATACTCCAGATGAAGGTAAACTGGTTCCTAATTCTATAGCAGCAGTCCCTGCTGCTCCAGATAATAGGGCAGTTGTGTCTGAAACAATATCAGGTGATCCAGTTGCTGATCCTCCAATAGATGATCCACGTGTCTCTGATGTTCCAGATGAGGATAAACTGGTTCCTGATCCTATAGGAGTGGTCTCTGTTGCTCCAGAAAATGATGCTGTTGTCTGCAAACCAGTACCAGGTGGTTCACTTGCTGCTGATCCTCCAGTTGACAATCCACATGTCCCTGATGTTCTGGATGAGGTTAAACTGGTTTCTGATCCTATAACATTAGTCCCTATTGTTCCAGATAATGGCACAGTTATCTCTGAACTTACCCCAGTTGGTCCACTTCTCTCTGATCCTCCAGGTAGTGATCTAGTGGTCCCTGATCCCTCAACTGATGGTAAACTTGTTGCTGATCCTATAACTGCAGTTATTGTTTTTCCAGATAATGCTGCAGTTGTCTGTGAACCTACACGAGGTACTACAGTTGTCCCTGATTCTTGAGGAATTGATCTAGTGGTACCTGTTTCTTCAGCTGAGAGTAAACTGGTTCCTGCTCCCATAGCAGCAGTCCCTGTTGCTCCAGATAGTGTTGCTGTTGTCTCCAAACCAACACCAAGTGATGAAGTTGCTGCTGATTCTCCAGTTGATGATCGAAGGGTCCCTGATGCTCTAGATACTGGTAAACTGGTTCCTGATCCTGTAACACTAGTCCCTGTTGCTCCAGATAATGGTTCAGTTATCTCTGAACTTACAATAGGTAGTCCACTTGTCCCTGATCCTCCAGGTAGAGATCTAGTGCTCCCTGATCCTTCAACTGATGGTAAACTGTTACCTGATCCTATAGTTGCAGTTCGTCTTGTTCCAGATATTGGTGTAGTTGTCTCTGAACTTACAGCAGGTGTTCCAGTTGTCCCTGATCTTCCTTGTATTGATCTAGTGGTCCCTGATTTTAAAACCGATGTTAAACCAGTTCCTGATCTTATAGCAGCGGTCCCTGTTGCTCCAGATAATGGTGCCGTTGTCTCTGAACCAACACCATGTGGTCCAGTTGCTGCTGATCCTGCAGGTGATGATCCTGGGGTCCCTGATGCTCCAGACGAGGGTAAAACTGTTCCTGATCCTATAACATTAGCTCCTGTTGTTGCAGATAATGGCACAGATATCTCTGAACTTAGACTAGTTGGTCCACTTGTCCCTGATCTTCCAGGTAGTGGTCTAGTGGTCCCTGATCCCTCAACTGATGATAAGCTTGCTCCTGATGCTATAGTTGCAGTTCCCGTTGTTCCAGATAATGCTGCAGTTGTCTCTGAACCAATACCAGGTGGTCCAGTTGCTGCTGATCCTCCAAGTGATGATCCAGGTTTCCCTGATGCTCTAGGTAAGGGTAAACCCATTCCTGATTCTGTAACTATGTTTCCTGTTGCTCTAGATAATGGTACATTTGTCTCTGAAACTACACCAGATTGTCCTGTTGTTACTGATCCTCCAGTTGATGGTCTTGGGGTCCAAGATGCTCCAGATGAGGGTAATCTGGTCCCTGATCTTATAACAGTGGTCCCTGTTGCTCCAGATAATGGTGAACTTGTCTCTGAACCTACAACATTTGGTCCAGTTGTTGTTGAATTTCCAGGTGTTGATCCAGTGATCCCTGATCCTCCAGATGACCATAAACTGGTTCCTTTTCCAATAATAGTAGTCCCTGTTGCTCCAAATAATGGAGTGGTTGTCTCTGACCCTACAACAGATGGTCCAATTGACCTAGATTTTCCAGTTGTCCCTGATGTTCTCATTGATGGTTCATATGTTCCTGTCACTGTATCTGATATCTCAGTGGTTCTTAATCCTCTAACTGATCGTTCACTTGTCTTTGAACCTAAAGCTGATAATGCAGTTGCCCCAGAATCACCAGTTGATGGTCCAGTAGCCCCTGATACTCCAATTGATGATCCAGTTGTTCCTGATCCTCCAGTTGATGTTTCAGTAGTCCCTGTCACTCCAGTTGATGGTACTGTTGTCCCTGATTCTTCAGTTGATGATCCAGTAGTCCCTGTAACTCCAATTGATTGCACAGTTATCCTTGATCCTTCAGTTAATGGCACTATTTTTCCTGAGACTTCATTTGATCGTTTAGTGGTTCCTGATTCTTCTGTTGATGGTCCAGTTGTCTCTGTCACTCCAGTTGTATAAGAGAGACATGAAGACATATAAATTAAATTACTATCCAACCAATCAAACAAATTCACAAACAAGAAATGCATCGAAGCACTAAGATGCATCTGGGGTTTTAATTTTAGACTGCCTGGTTATCAAATGCCTCTCTGAAAAGATGTCATTAATTTTGAGCTCTGACAAGAAGCAGACAACTATGTGAAACTCTAGGGGAAATATCCTTACAGGCAGTGGGATCAGACAGTTCAAAAGACTGAAATAAGCTGTTTATGCTAGAGAAGCAGAACTAAATGAACGTATATGGATCATGGGGGAGGTTAGGGGGAGAACACTAGAAGGTGAGGACATGTACATAGGATTGGGCAAGTTATTGTGAATCAGGGGAGGGAAATTGGACATTTTTCTAAATGCAATGGAATATAATGTTTTGCCTTGGAGTGATAGATTTATATATATTTTAAAATCCCTCTTTCCACTCTGTAGAGAATGTATGGTAAAGGGTGTATAATAGAAGTTGGAAGACCAGTATGTGGTTATTTCAGGAATCCAAAAGATATATAAGTGCCTAGGGCTAGAGTGGTGACAAAGGAGATTGAGAACAGTGGATGGATTCAGGATATGTTCTAGAAGTAGCATTAACAAGCCTTGTTTGTATTGGGAAGTGCAAAATTAAAAGAGAGACATCAAGGAAAACTTTAAGATTTTTTCCTGAGTAAAACGAGTCAGTGATGGTACCATTTATTGATATGGGAAAGACTGATAGAACAGGTGTGGGTATGAAAGAAAATCAAGAATTCTGTTTAGCTCATGCTAAATCTGTGATTTCTATTAGACATAAAAGTGGAAATGTCGAGTTATCGATTGAGTGCTAATCTAGAGATCCAGAGAAGCCAAGACTGGGGATATATATTTGGATATCTAAATCTAAAATGTCTTCGAAAGTTTCTTATAGCTGACTTCCTACGGATTATGCAACCACGCCCGCTAGGCCTGTCTTGTCTCTGACTACCAGAAGCTTCTTTCCGAGCTCAATTTAAGGGAACTTCCCACCCACCAAGTCATGCTCTTGCATTTTTCTACAGACTAGTTTGCTATCTACCAGCTAACACTGTGATTGCCTCTGAAAACTTAACTTTATTCTCATTCATGCAACTTTGAGTTAGTATTCTGTTTGAGGTCTTGAAGCAATTAATTCCACCATACCTCATATCCTGTCATTCTTTGACACTGAGTAAAGCCTACATTTCACTTTCCTCTATCATCTTTGGCATTCTAAAGTCATGCTGGGCTTTGTCTCTTTTATTCTAAACTCTTACTTCTTCCACAGCCTGTTCTCTATCACAATTACTTTTACCCTGTCCTCTGGAATCCCCATTCAATGATTTTAAAAACTCTTCTATATGCTTAACTGTTTTACAAAATGCTTCTACTTCCTCCTGGGCTTAACCTAATGGACTTAATTCTGCAACAACCTGTCATAACTCAGAATGCTCCAAATCTTTATCTGAAGAATTCTGAAGGACCAAATGAGGATGGAGACCTTGGATTTGTAGAGATATGGATCTACACAGTGGTGTGCGTGTGTGGATGCAAAGCTCCACTACTTGAGTATAGCAACAAGTAGCCTACTCCCTCCCACATCTCCAGTTCTTCTGGAAGGTTCTCTTTCACATAACCTGTTATTTTTACCTCATCTATAAGAATAAAGCTCTTAATCCTTTACCAGAACTGTGAGTTCCTATTCATCTATTTACTTATTCACCAGATATCCACCAGATATTTATCAAGTCAGTCATTCAGCTAAGTACTGGGAATACAGCTGAAAATAAGAAAAGACAAGTTGACAAGATTTTTCTATACTTTTGACAGAAATTCACCATGTTGGTGGCCTATGTAGTAATGGTGAATAACTGGATGAAGAATCAACAGTGTAGACCCTGTTTTGGCCTCACAACATACTCATCCTGTGACTGAAGTAAACACATTAATTTTTTCATAAATAAAATGTAAATAATTCTGAATATACTGTCAATTGCTCAGAGCAGTTGTATAATTCAAGTAAGTAAATGTATGTGACAACACTTTGTCCATTTTACACTTAGCGCATTTTTTCTGCTCATCATTTTTTATTTTTGCTAAAACAGATTAATGTGACTCACAAATGATATTATACAATGGTTAATGATTGCCTCATATCTTTATTTTTATCCATTAAGTTGTATCAATATATTGGGTAAAAATCAAGGTATAAAAACAGTATTATTTTATTCTACCAATTATATTTCTCAAACACTTTTTTTTGCCTATTTCATGAGAAATGTTCATCAATCCTATTTATTTATTTATTTGTTTGTTTTTAGTCTCTATCTTTAGTCCTTCGAAACATGTTAAGTTTTATGAAGCACAAACATTGTTTAGTATGGGTTGAGCTTTGAGCAAGTGAGGTATTGTCATGTCCCATTTGCAAATTCTAGAAAATAAGACATTTTTAAACCAATGTGTAGAGATTTTAGGGAGCAAATTGTTTTCTGAATTTTTAGACAATTCAGAAGACAATGTTATTTATTAAATTACTCTCAGAAATTGGGAAAGCTGTTCATCATGGTTCTAGATCACTTTTCTGTTCAATAAAGAACTTATGGAAAAATATGTTAATATTTTAAACTAAAACACTTTCTAATATTAATGAACCATGAAATTTTTCTAATACTAAAGATAGTGGATTTTTGCAAAAGACTGCAAAAAGAAAGACTCTAACTTTAAATTTGAATATCCTTGTTAATGCCTGATAACTTTTAATATCCAACAGTCTATTATTCAACAAAGAAATGAATTTATTGAACTCAAATATTTCTATAATGGGAAAATTATATTAACAATCAATAAAATACAAAAATAACTAACATTGTTTTATAATTATTTAGTACTTTCAATCCATATTTATTTTTGCTTGTTGTTGAAGTGATTTTGTGTAGTGCAATGCAGATCTTAGATAAAGAAATGGAAATAACTGCATGGGAAATACATCCTAAGAAGTCCCTAACTCAAAGACAACACTTAAGGACCACACAGAAGATGGTCACTATTACTTTTTTACTTAAATCCACTATGATTGTATCAAGTAACATTCCAGTGATTTCTAAATGGGCCATATAAGAATATCAGATTTTAAATGCCATATTAGTCTTGTTTAATAATGGAGAACACCTGAACTGTCAGATCACTGTCACACTCTGTGACACTAGTTGTACCACCTGACCTTCCAGGTGTACCTGTTATAAAGGGAAAAAAATGGAAAAGTCTCATTCACAGAATTTCTTAAACTATGAGATAACCAATTCTGATTTAAATTAACTTCCAACTAAAGATTACAGAAGTGCCTACTTTTCCATATCAATAATAATTATTACTCTTTATACTTTTCAAAAAAATGTGCTTTGACATACATTTATTCATTATTTCATTTGATCCTCATCACAATGCTACTCAATAGATTACATTACTCAGTTTTTACAGATAAGAAAACTAAGGTAATAGAGGTTAAATGATTCACTCACTTAATTACATGATATTGATTCTAGGAGTAGTGTTTGCATATGGACACTGCTTGGGCAAGTTGTTTATTTATTTTTCTTTTTTTACATCAGAAATGATTATTGAATGTTTATCAAATGGCTTTTTTAGCCTCTTTGTAGAAAACTACTTGCTTTTATTTCTCTTAGAGCTATTAGTACAATGAAATATTTTAATGATTTTGTAATTTTGAAAAGCTTTCATTGAAAGTTAATAGGAATTATTATTAAACATTATTTTTTTTTATTTATTTTTTTTTTTGCGGTACGCGGGCCTCTCACTGCTGTGGCCTCTCCCGTTGTGGAGCACAGGCTCCAGACGCGCAGGCTCAGCGGCCATGGCTTACGGGCCCAGCCGCTCCGCGGCATGTGGGATCTTCCCAGACCGGGGCACGAACCCGTGTCCCCTGCATCGCCAGGCGGACTCTCAACTACTGCGCCACCAGGGAAGCCCCCTATTAAACATTATTTTAATACACTTTTGGATTCTAATTTTAGCCACTTGTCTTTTGCTATGCAAACTCTTTAGATGCTCTTTTTTTTTTTTTTTTGCTTTTTTATTTCTCTTTTGATAGAAAGGTGTTTTTTTTGTTTTTTGTTTTTTTGTTTTTTTTGCGGTACGCGGGCCTCTCACCGTTGTGGCCTCTCCCGTTGCGGAGCACAAGTTTCGGACACACAGGCTCAGTGGCAATGGTTCACGAGCCCAGCCGCTCCGCGGCATGTGGTATCCTCCCAGACCGGGGCACGAACCCATGTCCCCTGCATCGGCAGGTGGACTCTCAACAACTGCGCCACCAGGGAAGCCCAGAAAGGTTATATTTTATAGTGATATTTTTATGTAACCCCATTAGCATCCTCCCAATTTTCTTTCAGATAGTGTCTATTGGTTGTCCCCTGTGGGCAGCAGTAAAATTAACTCATAATTTCTTCTTTCCTTGTTCTCTTTCTCGTCTGTAGTTTCCAATTTAAGTAAATACCATTTTCCTTCTTAATGCTCATGTTTTTACTTGGTCATTTATACTTGGACATTTTTACTTGGTCAAATATGCAACACTTATCTTCCACCTTTCTTTCAAACTTTGTTATAGTTTTAGAGCTACAATTAAAAATAGCATTACAATCTTTTTGTTTGTTTTCAAGGCATCTTTTTGCTGCTTAACACTCCTCCAGTGATTTCATTATGAAGGGCTCATGGCTATCTAATTCCCTGAATTCTTTCATGTTCCTATAGCTTTAATACTTGAATTACATTTAGTTAGCTATGAAAACCTTGGCCCACATTCTCTTTCCTTGGGTATCTAAATGCTACTCTACTCTTGTCTAATGCTAACCTGATTTTCTTTCTTTTTTAATAACTGTCTTTTCCGCAACATCCAGAACATTTCTTTATCTTTCAAGCCTAACATTTGTCTAAAATAAGCCACAGAATTGACTGTTCATGAATGATTCTTCCAGGTAGGTCCTTTCAATGTGTAGATTTGAAATTTTTTTTTATTACAGGAAATTTAATCTGATTTACAATTTTAAATATTAATTCTATTTCATTGCCTTTTCTTCTCCAGAAACTGCAATTATATATATATATATATACACACACACACACATATATATACATATATATATATATATATAATATTTTTGTCTGTTTCCTATAACTATGTCCTACTCTGATCCACTTTACCTTTTTTAAAAGTGTCTGCAATTTTTTTGGGGGGGTGATATTTCCAATTCTACCCTCTAATCCCTTTCCCATACTTTCAGTCATTTATTCTCTGTTGGGTACCTTGTTATTTGGTCTTTACTTTCAAGAAAATTTTTCTTTTTTTTCAATATCTCTCCTTAGTTTTCATCAATTCCAATTTAACATCTTCCTACTATTTATCTGGTTTTACCCTGAGTTTTTTAGTTTATAGTTTTGATGTCTCTTTATATCTTCAGTTGTTTCTTTATTTTAAGTTTGTGTTAATGTTACGTTTTTGAAACTGAGCAGAACCAGATGGCTCCCCCAAGTACAAAGGCCCTTCCATGTCCCCTGCCTCTTGTTTGTAGAAAAGCTGAAATCTCCCAGGCCTCCCTGAGTCACAAAAGAGCAAGTTCAAGTAGCTAATGATTAGGGAATAGAGTCACAGAATCTTTCAGTGTCAGGTGCGCATTCCTGAGTTGTTTTACAGATAACTATGACTGCCACCAGAGGGAAAAAGCTAACTTCATCATGACCAGAATGTACCCATGACATAGGCTGGCCTATGTCAGCCATCTATGGCTAACACAATTCCAAGAACTGGCCTCAGGAGAATGGGATTAACATTGTTGCTCATAATAATCTATATCTGTGTGAGTATCAAAATAATTATAACTTGCTCTGCCTGCATATGTAAGCAGGCAATTAAAATTATCAGCAAAGAGATGCTACAGACCCATGTCAACATCTTCCACTCTAAGAATATGGTGCCATATGTCAACATGAAGAAGTTACAGAACATGGACCTTCACCCCTAATCCCAGAGAAATAGAATGATGTCTGACAGTGGGGATTTGTAAGAAGCTCCTTTGCCCCTTTCCTGTTGCCTGTTTCTGTTCCTCTCAAACCTTATAGAAATGAGATCACTAGGCAACATTTAACTTAACTCCTGACTTATGCCCTAAAGAATGCACACAATACCTTGCCTAACCTGTTGATTCTTTCCCTAGATTAAAAGCAGTAGGAATGAGGGCTTCCCTGGTGGTGCAGTGGTTGAGAGTCCACCTGCTGATGCACGGGACATGAGTTTGTGCCCTGGTCAGAGAAGATCCCACATGCTGCAGAGCAGCTGGGCCCATGAGCCTGCACGTCCGGAGCCTGTGCTCCGCAACAGGAGAGGCCACAACAGTGAAAGGCCCGCATACAGAAAAAAAAAAAAAAAAAAAAAAAAAAAGCAGTAGGAATGAAGAATTCAGTAGTTAAAGAGTGACTAGCTTTCTACCCCCAGACTCCCCCTTAGCAATTCTGTAGGCAGACAATGCAAGCAAGAAAACATCTGAAGAAAGATCATGAAGAGTCAGGCATTCTGCATGCAATGGAAAATGATACAGAACCTAACATTTTGCCTCAATGATTCACTAAGATTCTTTCCCCATTTTCCCTTTAAAAATTGTCATGGCCAAGTAGAATCTTTGGAATTGGTTCTGAGACATGAGTCCACCTTCTCCTCAGATTGCTGGACTTCTGATTAAAACAACTTTTCCTTTCTACCAACACTTGCCTCTCGATATTGGCTTTCAAGCAGTGAGCAGCTAAACCTGAATTCAGTAACATTTTAGTGTTCCTCTGCTTTATGACTAGATTTTTAGAATTTGCTTGCTATTGCTGAAAATTTCTGAAAATGTATACAAAAGAATAGTTTAAAATAGATATTGGAATTTAATTTTTTTCATGCCTTTTTATTTTTGCATTGTGTTTTCCTAAAACAGCAATAGCAGGAGATCCTATGCAGTGAGGGCACAGAGGCTTCTGTGAGGTTCATCAGATTTCTAAGATCAAGGGCTTCCTCTTGTTACATTGAAGGGAAGATTCTTTTATAAGTGGAGCTTTTCCTTTTTCTGTCTTCTAATTTTTAATTATTATACTGTTTTCTTGAGACCCTGAGCATTTTTTTTCCTTTTTCCATTGACATTCATTCTCCAAGGATTCCTTCACCTTCCAATATGCCTCCTTCCCCTTTACAAGCAGTTGCATGCCTTCCCAAGACTGCCAGTTCTCATTCCATGAACTCTCCAATCCTTTCTTTCAAACTCGCATTCACAAATGTTCTGACTTGCCAGATCCCAGCTCTCTCAGTATTCTCTAATCAAGGTGAGGACTTTTCCTTTTGGAGGTGAACCCAGTTGATGTTACCTACATTCTACCACTATTAAAGACCTCTCTATACTTCCCTCTGTTCTGATGCTCTGACCTGAATCTTGGTTCCTCTATGAGCCCCAGAGCCCTCTTTTCCAGTCTCGAGACTTTAGTCTTCTCTGTCCCCTCTAAATATTCTAGATATGGGCTCTGTGTTGATATTTCTGGTTGGTGAAAGGAGGTATGTGTAGCTTCTAATGTATGCAGCCTCTTCTTTTTTAAAAAAATATTTTTCACAGGTTCCTTGAGTTTAAATGCTACTCAATTCTAAGAGCATCAGTGCAAATTAAGGATCAGATCCTTAGTCCAGATCAGACACTGATGAGGGAGGTGTGGTTGGGAACTGCTAAAAAATCAGGCCCAGACTTGCTTGACTTCCCAGGACTTGTGGCTCCAGTGCCTGATGATTCCCCAGGGGTGTTGCCACCTCCAGCTCTGGGGATTGCTCCAGGCAATACCCTAGGCAAGGCTTAATTTTATAATGGGAGAAAAAAGCTAGCTAATTAAAATATAAAACTGATCATTTTATGAAGATGGCCTGTGTAAGAACAGATAAAAATTTTGAATAAGAGGCTTAATTCTCTCTACTGAAAATAAGGGAAGAGACTTCTCCTTTCCTTTTCTTAGAGTATTTACTTTAGAATATCTGTAAATGTATGTTCTTTTCAGTGTCTTTGAAGTGTATGTAAATCTTTCAAAAAACTAAATAAGCCTCTTGTCAGCTTAATGACCCAGAAATGTCTTTCTCAAGGGCTTAAGCACTATCTCTTTGAAATTTAAACATCTAAGAAGACAGTGGTTCTTCCCCCTCTAGATACAAAACTTCCTCCTATCATCAAGATAGAAGTTTATTTTTCTGTTGTAACCAGAAAATAACCAGATGGTCACCCAAATGCCAGGTGAATTTAGAATAAACTATGTGTAATAAATGGTGCTGTCAAGTTCTCTTACTTAAGGATTATTTTTCTGGAGAACATGCATGTAGCAGATTGTATTGGCTTGGTGAGATTTCTTCCTGTCTTTATAGACCTTTAGTGAATTGGCTATAATTTGCATCACATTCTCGTTTAATGATTATTCAATAATAAAACTGTTTTCTTTCTCTTCTACCTTTGTGGACAGGGTCTCTGTGTTGGGAGATTTTGTTTACAATTCTATTTCCCCAACGCCTGAAATATGATTGCTGTTTATTCCCCTGAAATTGAATACATCCCTAAAATTTCACTCAGTTTACTTATGTTTTGAGTATAGTTGCTCAAGTTAAAGTGTATAGTTATAGACAAAGAATGTCTCCTGCCATTCCAGTAAACAAATAACGTTGCCTGCCATTGTGCCATCAGCTACTGCAGCCTCCCCCACCAACAGTGCGCCCTCAGGGGAATTCAAGATGGAGAAAAACAGGATACTGGACCTACATAGTTAAGATGAACACCTAAGGAATAATTTCAATGAGCCTAGACTCTTGCATCTTCCCATACACAGAAAAGCACTAAAATCATTAACTTGAGATGTCTGATTTTTTTATGATTAGCTGTAATCTTTTGATGTAAGACTACATGTATTGTTTTCAGCAAAAATCCTATATATCTTTGCTCCTCCCTTACCTCTTCAGAACAGTTCCTCAGAGCTATCTGAGAGGCTGTCTCATGGGCTATAGTCCTCAATAAGGTCCCTAAATAAAACATAACTCACAAATTTTAGGTTGTGTGCATTTCTTCAGTCAACACAGTCATAGAGTACTGATCATAATGTCATATTCTTTTCAAAATAGAATAATTCTGTTGCCTTTAACCCCAACAAATCAGCTCTCTTACTAGAAGGTCCTGTTGAGTTCCCACTTCAACAATTGTCACTGAACATTTCCTCGATTCAGATTATCTTCTATTCGACATGGTTTTTGCCTTTGTGTGTATATAAATATTCATTTCTCCTGCTCAAAAATCAAGTTCTAAGAGAATAAGTATCTTACTCTACTACTCTCCTACTTTCTCTAGGGTACCCAGTGTGAAGTGGGCACACATCAATAAATAACTTGATTTATTTCTGATCTTCATCAGTTTTGACATCACACAAATAATAATAATTAAATTTTCCAGAAAACCTTGCCTCTGACAAAATTTTAAGTAAAGAACTCACATTTCCATTGTCTGGTTTTATTCTGATTATGTTCATTTAGTACCTGCTGCTCCAGAAGTGTTTTCACCAGCAGCTCCAGTGATGGCAGCATTTTCCCCTCCAGTTGTTCCTAATTGAAAAGAACAATGGTTCTCAGTGGACATTGCAGTTGCCAGATATAGCATATCAAAATAGATGACACCCAGTTACACCTGAATTCCAGATAAACAACAATCACATCCCAATTATTGCATGGGGCATACTTATACCAAAAAAATTTCTTATTTATGTGAAATTCAAATTTAAATGGCATCCTGTGTTTTATCTGGCAACTCTACTCTACGTAGATGGTTGTAATGAAAATGCTCAGACTACACATATTCATGTGTCCTAAAATTATAACTGTTAAAGCCATAGCCATTGCTCAATTCACCTAAATTCCTCATGAGAACTTGGAGTCTCAGCTCCTGATGGAGTACCACCAAAGTGTCCAGGTGACCTGCACCTTGACTCTGAGCTACCAGTTGGGCTGGAACCAGGGGAAGGTGGTCTAGCTGGGATGCCACTGCCAGTTCCAGTGGTAGTTCCAACAAATTCTCCTGTTACACCTGATAAACAGTATTGGAAGAGTATATATATTATTATGACAATCCAGTACTGTAGTACTTTTGAAGGGAAGATTTGGAGAAACCAGAAAAAAGACTTCTTGAAAACGTTAATCATGTTTATACTATTCTACATCCTACATCTTTTGTTGGATGATATATTATTAACTAATACTAAGTGCAATCAGTGGTATTCTGATGAAAGACTGTCCTTTTTGACAAAAGTTGTGGCCTCAGTGAGATCCTCTACTCACCTAACTTACCTTCAGACTGTGCCACTTCACTGCTTGGTGCTCTAGCTGTTTTACCAGCTGATGATCTGGTAGTCTCTTTCAAAATAAACAATATATATCAAATTACATATATATATATATATATATATATATATAAAGATCTTTAGTTAGGCGAACAGAATATGCTGTTCTATGCTTTCAAAAGACTTG